AAGTCTAACAAAACATTAAATACATGTACAAATATAACATTAATAATAGTAGCATTTTTTTAAAACAAAAACTCTTAAAGCCCAAATTATTGCTACTCTACCTTTAATTATTATTAAGATCAGTTCCCTTAAATGCAAAATAATGGGTACCTTAGCAATGGGATGATAATATTCTTTGAAACCCTAAATCCAGAATACCATAAAATGAGTAACATTTCACTTCTTTTAAACTCTGCTCAAATAAAAATGAATCTATGGGTGGAAGAAAAGTACATTTCCTCATACTCTGAACAATTTTGAAGTTGTTGTCTACTGTGCGCATATTTGGTTTTTTATTTCCACTTCAGGTTGGATTTTCCCCCCAATGTTTTCGGTTAGATTTTGGTGTCAAGCTCTCTGTGTCTAGTGTCTGTTGAAGGCGCTGCCTTAGATGAGTGCTTGTTATTCCCCCTTAAAACTTTAACTTGCAGCATTCGGGCGGGCTCTGTTGGACTGAAACTTAAAGTTAACCTTGAGACAGCACCTGCCTGCCACCCTTCGAACTTTTGCGGTTGCTCTCAAATGTTCTCTCTGCCTCTCCACCCTATCTTTCTCTGTCCATCCATTTCCCTGTGCACTTTTATCTATTACAGGCACACACACAAACACACAGTAGCGGAAACCTTTGTTAGATTTTTGATACGCTTGCTAAACTTTCACACCCTTTTAACGTCGCGCTCCCTTAGGGGTGGCTCTCTGCATGTACATATGTATGTGTGTAAGAACGTAGTACGACTCTATATTGTCGCCGCAGGAGTCGTTTTTGATCGTTACAGTAAATCATTTTAAATGAATTTCACTCGACTGCTTTCACTTCGCCGGTGTGGGTTGCCTAGGCGCCTGGTTAGAGTTTGTTTCCTTAATGCATACGCCGGCAAGCGCCCCACGGGCCGTCGTCCTCATCATCGTAGTCGTCCCTTGCTTTCCAACTAAATTGCGCGTGCGGACGAAACATGTGTCCGTGTGTGTCTGTTTTTGGTGTCTTTGTGTCTGGGGTGGCTGGTTTTTGTCTAATGCCGCCGAGCCGTGCTACACGGATTTTAGTTTCTGTTTTTGGGGTGGCCTTTCTCAGAAATTGCTTTCGCTGCTTCATACATGTTCGTTTTTCTTTTTTTTTATCAAGCCGGCCGGCCGGCATTTCCAGCTTTTTCTATTAGGCCAACAGGGTGCTTTCTGTATTGCCTTTGATTTGTATGCTCGGAAAAGTAGCATATCGGCAACTTGAGGTCATTTATTATATTACGCATGACACCTTACGCCTTGGCAACATTTGTTACGATCTCAGCATAAATGCGCCATAAGTAGCAACAGCAACACCAACCGCCCCTGTTTCCTCCTTCGTCCTCGCCCGTTGATATCCTGCTCTGCCCTTTTTTCAGCTTTTGTTGTCTGTTGAGAAATTATGCAGCAATTCATAAAAATCGCAAGCGGTTGAGTTTTCCAGCCAGGCAGACGGGCCTGTTATATTATTATTTTAACATATATTTTAGCTACGGTTTATCGATCCTTTGTGGCAATGGCACGAGTCATGTTTATATGTTTACATATGCATATATAGCACGAGTATGTTTGTGTGTGTGATAAGGTTTATTGTTTAGGTGAATGTCATTTTGTGTAGCAGTTAATGGTTTCTTTTTTTTGGCTGAGCCGAAGAAAGCAGCTGTAAAGGGTAATAAAAGTTTATTGTTATTATTGGGATGTTCTCTGTAGAAAACGTATATATAGTATGCCCTTAATATGTTAAACGTTTGATAAATGACTTGTTGATAATCATCTAATAAGCATTTTTATTACAGTTAATGAAATTAAATAGCGCTTTATACTCGTAAATATAGATCGCAACTATAGCTATGTTTATTTGCCTTGAATTTTACGAGTTAATACATTTACAATCATTTTATCGTAAAAATTTTGATTTAGATATGAATGTTGTGTTATATATGAGAACTATGTATTTTTACTATATTATTACTATATGCTCAACAAGGATTAACAATGCATTCTCTTTAAAAATGAAATATTTCTTAATTGGAGCAATTTTAAACCAATTCGCTTTATAATTTAAAATAATAAGTAAAATAAGATAAACCTTATCTCTAACTTTTGCGTGGTTGTATTTTCTATTTAATATTGGTTTAATTCTTGGTTTTACTCGCTTTGTAAAAATAAAAAGTCACTCCCTTCTTAAAGTGCATAAAATTTCGAAAAAGGTCTTTAACTTTGCTGTAATATTTAAACAATGTTGTAAGTCTTTTGCTGTAAATAAAAAGGCCATAGAGAACCAGAAATACCTACAAGTAAGAATGAGTTATGGCTAAAAGAATGTTTTGGGGAAAAAGCTATTAAGATCAATCAATTCCGGCGTAAGTATATGTATTAGGTGTGAATCAAGACCTAATCATTCATTTACACACATCTTCGTTTTATTATACGCCTATTTGTTTAAATATAATCACCTTCAATCCATTCAACGTCTATATAAGTACGTATCAGACATTGCTCCAGTGCTCCATTCCCAAATCTTTTATCGCTGCAGCTTATAAGCTTCATCAACATTTCAATTAGGCTACACAACCCATTTAAAACCCAAATCAAAGCATTGCAGTCTTCACTTAAACCAACAGTCTGGCAGTAAGGCAGACATTTGAGAAAGTCCAAGAAGCCCCAAAAAGCACTTGCCAGCCGCGCTTTATTAGCCATGCCAGTCACAGTCTATAGTTGGACCGCAGACAATTAAATAAACCCACATAATGTAGAACAGGCGTTGTTAACGAGCGCCAGGACACCAACAATTGAGATAAGCACAACCACCAAAAGGCAGTCTCTGCCATATAGACTGGCGTTTCCACCTCAATCCCAACCCCAACCACAACTCCAATTTCAAACTTCGCCTGGCGCTGAATGTCTGTCTGGCTGTCGGTTTGGTTGTCTATCTAACTGAATGTGTGTATGTTCAACACTTAACTCATATCTTGTGTAACATAACAATTAGTACAGCTCGTAAAAAGCAAACTGTGTAGGAAGCAAATCCATCCCAATCCAATCCCACTCCATTCAGTCCAAAAAATAAAAAGAGAACATAACAATTCTATGCTCGGAGACTTCATGCAGCGCGTGTGCTAACCAGAAGGAAAAGAAAAACCTCCTCTATTTGTTTACTTCATGGAGCTCCAAAAGCGGCATAAATGTGCACTAAAGTAGCTAAATTTATAATAGAAATAAACAAAATGCAATGAATTCATGCACATCGGCTCTATCTACTGCCAGTCGCTATATGATGCATATAACTGGGCAGAAAAATTTATGAGCGGCCCCAGCAAGAATCTTTTTCTTTTTTTTTTTCTTCTTTTTTTGTTAAATACAACTTCAAATTGTTTGCTTTCAATTAGTAGTGTTGAACTTTTTCCTTTGCTCGTCGTGGGCCTCCCATTCATGAGAATTGTCTAAATAAACAAATCCGAAACTATTAAAGCCAAATGCCAGACATGGCCGGGCCCTCCTGTTCCCTTGATAATGGCATGAGCTGTGCATAATTTTTCTTAAATATTTTCTCAAATTTCCCAACTAGCTGTCGAATTGCGACGGGGCGTCCAACTACCTGCCTACCTACCTACGGGGCACATGTATTTCGAATGTGTTAAATGTTTGCATAAATAGTAATGGATGGAAAATATTCTTTGGTTCGGCTACCAGCCACGCCCGTATCTTCAGTTCGTGTTACTTGTTTGCTCTCTCAGCGTCTATATACTACTTATACTATAGTATATTATAGTAGTTCCTTCCATATTTTTTCCTCTTCGCTGCTATTGCAACGCTTCGTTTGTTTTCTTGTGAATTTATGCCGGCCTTTGGTCGGCTTGGATTGGTTTAGTTTGGTTTTTGGTTACCATGTCAAGGGAAGCTGCCCGAGTAGCCCAGAAACTGTTGCAGGCAGTGGCGATTCTCGGAATGCTACCAATAAATGCATTGCAATCTAATACTGTTTCAATGTCAAAACAAATGTATCGCGTAGATCAAATAAACAAAGCGTTGATTGGAATGTCAACAATGGAGTGTAACGTTGACAATTCATCTTCTCAATAAATGAGTTTTCAATTCACTTCCTAACTATTATTAAGTCCACCATTCAAGGCGTGAAAATCTGAGGTATTGTTGAAGAAGTGCTCTCGAAAAGTTAAGGACAAATAAAATAGCCGCTTTCAAAACTATCATTAAATGAAGTATCTTTTTCTAATAATATATAATTACAGTAGTAAGTTAAGCGGCAGGTTTTACTATTTTAATGGATTTTTATATAAATGTTATTGGTCTTCCTAATATTGGGGAGATATTTTATTGAATATATATTTTTTTTTCTAAACGACAAGAATATTTCGTTATTGTTTTCAAAATTGTCTTTAAATTAAGAATCTTTTAAGATTTTTCTAACAACATATAGTTACAGTAGTAAGTTAAGGTGCAGGTTTTAATATTTTTAAGGATTATTATATCATATTTTTTTTTGGTCTTTCTAATGTTGGGGTGATATTTTATTGAATGCAGATATTTCTTATTACACAACAAGAACAAGACGTTATTATTTTCGAAAATAATAAAATATGTTTTCAAAAGTTCTGAAATTTCTTCTAACAACATTTTATGTTAAGAAAAAAATTGTATTAGGAAATCAAAAAAAAAAAAAACTATGAATTTTACGAATTAAAACACTGTTCTTTGAAATTGCTGCATTAAGTATTTTTTATTGGATATACAAACTATGTATGTATATTTATTAATTTGAGGCCAACATTTTAATTACGCAAATAGAAAAGAAAGCAGTAAGATGAATTCGCCAGTACTGATAATTTTTTATACTCTGGCAGTTTAGCCTATATTTTTGTTAGACAAATCTGCTACTATTATTGTATTACTTAAATAGATCACCTTATTTATTGTTTACTTTTCTCCACGCCTATTTGCAGAACGTGTGCTCCGCTATTGTGAATCCCCCTCGATGGGCACCTGCTGCACCTACAATATGGAGACGCGACTGGCGATGCAGTCGCGCCAGCAGCTCGAAACGCACACAAAGGATCAAATTAACAAAATGTCTAGCCTGTTGGGCAGCAAGGCAACCAAATTCAATGGTGAGTCGAACATACAAATTAGTCGTAGAGCAGAAGTATCGCTCAACAGCCACTTGAAGCTGCCTAGACGAGAGGCTACCCGTAATTACACAACACAACACACACAAACATACACATATAAATACATTCACACACACACACACACACAATTATGTTAAAATTGTAACTATTTTGGAATGTGCCGGGCACATGGTGCGGTTCACTGGTAGCCTCAAATCATGCGGGTTTCAAGTTACAAACACATAAAGCAACAAAGACAGAATTCAAGTGGCCGCCCCGAAGTGACAATGCGGATGTCAAGATTTATTTTGTGGCATGCAACAGTGGCCGGCGGATGCAGCGGACAGAAATATTTCTAAATAGTCGCTGACACTGTCGCCGCCGGATGTGCGCCATTTCAATTAAAGCTAAAAATGTTATTTCTCTATTTTTCTCCCGATTTACTCAATGCAGAGATTTTTCGCACATTGCTACGCGAATCAAAGACGGAATTCCATACGATGTTTACGCGCACATATGGCGTTATCTATCAGCAGCATTCGTATGTCTTTTCGGATCTATTCAATGAGCTGGAGAATTACTTTGCGCGCGGTCGTGTCGATCTGCTTGATGTAATGGACAAGTTCTTTAGCACGCTCTATCAGAAAATGTTCACTGTGTTGAACGGACAATTCGATTTTGATGAAAAGTGAGTACACTCAGAAAAATTTGTATGCCTAACATGTTTTATAGATGGGCGGAAAGATGCGTTGAACACTCGGCAATACTATAAACGGGTACATCGAGCCAAGTCATATCCACTGTTTGTCTGTATGACCAGCTTGTTCTGGAAAATTAGAAGAGCTCCAGCTACCAAAATTTTTTTTTTTGCGAGTGCAGATGATCGCGAAGCTAATTGAAGTTCTACTAGTAATCCAAGCCCTAGTCAGGCTTTTCCACAATATGTTTGACAGTTTTAGATTCGCAATATACTGGTACAGTTTTGAATATAACTACCCCAGTCGAGCCAAGTCATATCCACTGTTTGTCTGTATGATCAGCTCGTTCTGGAAAATTAGAAGAGCTTCATTAACCCAAATTTCCCAAAAGGACTCATCAAATGTATTTACACCTAACTTAAAACAAATTTCTTTTTTGCGAGTGCAGATGATCGCGAAGCTAATTGAAGTTCTACTAGTAATCCAAGCCCTAGTCAGGCTTTTCCACAATATGTTTGACAGTTTTAGATTCGCAATATACTGGTACAGTTTTGAATATAACTACCCCAGTCGAGCCAAGTCATATCCACTGTTTGTCTGTATGATCAGCTCGTTCTGGAAAATTAGAAGTGCTTCATTAACCCAAATTTCCCAAAAGGACTCATCAAATGTATTTACACCTAAATTAAAACAAATTTCTTTTTTGCGAGTGCAGAAGCTAATTGAAGTTCTACTAGTAATCCAAGCCCTAGTCAGGCTTTTCCACAATACTATATGTTTGACAGTTTTAGATTCGCATTTACACAGACGTGTGAAACCGCAACGTCAACGAGTGTCAGGGCCTGAGTAACCGTCTGACGGTCTGCCTGACTAGCTGACTGTCTAAACTTTGACGCTTGCCATGGTGTGCAATTTCAGTGGCCCTTTTGTTATACACACTCGTACATACATTATTATTCCATACAAATTTTGTTGTTGTTGCGCTCGAGTTTTTGTATTCATTCGTTTGTGGTTGAAACGCTTAACAACAAAAATAAAAGAAAATAAAACAAAACAACGACAACGACAAGGACTGAAACCCCAAACGCACTTTGGACCGACCCGACCCCACATTTAAGTTGGTTCCTGTGTCGGCGGTTGCGCTCGCATTTCCTTCGCCAAATTGCGCCCACTTGGCTCATTGCCCGAGCCGGCGTCGTCACTTGGCGAATTGTGTTCTGTGCTTTGGTAAATGGCTCAACCATAGGCTCGTGTTACCCACGCGCGCTCTCTCCATTGCATTGCCGTTTTGCGATTCGTTTTTATTGTCATTTTAGTTGGCCGTACGTGCTTTGGCACATTGTCCGTTTATTGCCATGGACGACTATGGCTATGACGACGACAACAACGACAACAACGATGTCGCGTAATTGCCGGCACTTGCTGGTTGTTTGCTGTTTGCTATTTGCTGTGTGCGGTCGTCCCATCGGTTGACCGCTTCTCGCCAGAGCGTGGCAGCATTTGTCACTTGCAGAGGGGGCCGTTCAAGCAAAAGCCATGAAACATGAAACATAAAACTGCTTAAAAATCAAGTCCAGAGCTCATTTGGAGAACTTTTCAAAGAAATTTTCACACGATTTTATCCCATAAAAAAGTTTGAGCCCAAATTTGAGTTCTTCAGCAACCAAAAAGTTGAGCTTTGCTTTGTTTATCAAGCAAGCTAGTTAAAGTGTTGAGCATTTGGAGAAATAGATGGTATTGCTACAATATACTAAAGATTAAAAGCAAATATTTCCCCATTGCAGGGTTGAATTGATCAAAAACAGCATCAAATGCAATTATGCATCAAAAAGTTTAGCTTTGCTTTGCTTATTAAGCAGACAAGTTATAGTGTTGAAAATTTGAGGAAATAGAAGGTTTTGCTACTGAAACTAAAGATTAAAAGCAAATATTTCCCCATTGTAGGGTTGAATTGATCAAAAACAGCATCAGATAAAATGATGCATCAAAAAGTTTAGCTTTGTTAGCTTTATTAATCAGACAAGTTAAAGTGTTGGACAATTGAAGAAAAAGCAGTTATTGCTACTGAAGCCTAGCACAATATACTACAGATTAAAAGCAAATATTTCCCCATTGCAGGTTTGAATTGATCAAAAACAGCATCAAATGCAATTACGCATCAAAAAGTTTAACTTTGCTTTTTTTATCAAGCAAACAAGTTATAGAGCTGAAAATGTAAAGATATATAGAAGTAATAAAAGGGCAGCACTATACAAAAATTAAACCTGTCTTTAAAACTATAGTTTAATTCGTATTTCTGTTGCTTCAAAGCATCCAGCACTAATAAAATGTTTGATGATAGATCAACGTTTAATTACCATACGTCATAAAATTAAATTCGAAACTAGCTAGCTACTTATTAATTCAAGTGGAAATCATGAATTTATCAAACACACCACTTGAACTATTTAGCTAAAGAGCCCCAGCTGCCATCTTAGAAATTCTGCTGGTGCTGCTGGTAAAGAGGCAGCTGGCAGCTGGCAACAGGCAGTAGGCTACCAGCTTCAGCATTGGCACTGGCATTGCCACTGGCACCTCCCTAAGCACTCTTCAGTAATTTCTAAATAGTTTAGCTAAATTGCCACAAAACCGACAATGATGTTGGCCAGTTGACACTTTTTGCCACGCACGCTTCGCCAGCAGGCTAAGGCTAACGAAAGCCACTGACCGGCTCTCTTCAATGCCAGAAGAACGGCAGCCTTACAAGTGCCCAGAGCGGCAGCGCCCAAGAAGTGCCACAGTTCTGTCATGCTTCAGAGGCGGTGCACCCCAATGCCCGTCCGTACAGCCCGATCGGGCCAAACTGAAGGCAGAGGCGGCAGCACATGGCGAGCCAACTATTTTTATTATTTTTTCCACATAAAAATTTGTTTTAGACAACAATGCGAGGCCGTGAGTTTTGAGCGCTTCATGCTGCCGTGCCATTTACAAGCGCAGATTTCCGCCCAACAACTACTCGTACCACTACAAATACCACAACAACTACAAGACAAAAATATTTACCTCCCCCTCTTTCCTGTTTCCCCCCAACTCTCCTGCAGATACATGCGCTGCGTCATCGAGCATATGAAGGAGCTGAAACCATTTGGCGATGTGCCCGACAAGTTGTCCGTGCAAATCAAGCGATCGTTTGTTGCCACACGCACCTATGGCCAGGCACTGGCCACCGCAGCCGAAGTATCCAAGAAGATTTTGAGTGTGAGTAGCTAAATATAAGTACACTTTGCTATATACATATACATAAGTATGTGAAGTATATCATTAACTTTACAAGTATGCTCAAACATCGAGCTTGCTCAGTAAACTCATGGCATTAGACTAAACACTGAACGGAACGGCACAATGAAAAGCAGTCCAATACGACAAAATCACAAGAAATCAAGCATAAGTTTAAGCAACATTTTCATACACTTGTATACTCGTAGTGTCATAAATTTGTAAAAATAAATTTGAGACTAAATGATAATATATTTAAATTGTCTCCAGATTACGATTTGGCCGGTAAAAAAGAATTATAGATGAATGTAGCCCCTTATTTTCTAACATTTATTTACAACTCTTCTAACTGAAATATAAATATTGAATTTGCTAAGATATATGGGATCTTAATTCGTTTTTCAACCACAAATTTCTCTACTCCTATAAATATGGTCAATAACCCAATTGAACACATTCTGATAGTGAATACTAGAATACTAGTGAGTACTTAAATGACAAAATTTCAGTATGTATTTTAAATGTACATAGATCGATATCCTAACTGGGATTACACCCTTAATCAAATGGATTTACGTTCCAGCTTCAATTAAATTCAAAACCACTTTTTGTGAATCCGTATACCAAATACCTAAAAAATTTAAACATGCTTGAGTGTTTCTTATAATCAAAAGTATTCATACAAAGAATATACTATATATATAAATTCTAATTCTAATTATGATAAGCAATTTATTTTAAGCGATGTAGTATATACATATTGGTATTATGTAGAAATTGGAACGTAAATATAAGTATAGTTCCTATAGTCTATATTAAAAGAAAGACTCATCAACTAAGACTGATGCTACATTTGGAAATATATAATATCTCTTCCTCATTCCCTACAGATACGCCTCAATGCGGACTGCACGGGTGCTCTGACGAAATTGCAACACTGCGGCGCCTGCAAGGGCTACACGGAAAAGCCCTGCACGAACTATTGTGTAAACGTGATTAAGGGCTGTCTACACTATCTGCATGAGTTCGATGCCGAATGGGAGAACTTTGCGCTCGCGATGGATAAGTTGGCGGAGCGAATGCTGGGAAGCTTTAACATTGTCATGGTTGTTGAGCCGATTAATATTAAAATTTCGGAGGCCATTATGAATTTCCAGGTGCGTTTATGGGGTGTTAATTTAGAGCTGACTGCTTCTATTTCGTCTTCTTTTTGGTTGTTGTTGTTGTTCTTTTTGATTTTGCAGCTCTCCATCATTTGCATATCTATCTAAGTAGTATATAAGTATAAACCTCACTCAATATTAGCGATTCGAGTGTCGGCTGCCGTTTTGGGTTTTCCCTGTTTGGGATCTTAAATTATGCGCACATAAAAATAAAACTGCCAACCAGTGGTTTATGCGCATTTTAAATTTGATCAAGACGCAAGCAAAATACAATTAGAAGCTAGGGATGGTTGAAAAACTTATGTCAGCTTCAGTTTTTGTGCTACTGTCCAACTATTTGCTAAAAATATAAACAAATATAACCCAATGTCGATAATATCAAAAGCGAAATACTTGTAATAAATAAAAAGAGCATTGGAGTTCTCATGTAATAATATTCATTCGTGATTTGCAGCCATTTGTAACTAAAAAGAAATTTTTGAATACAAAACAGCAATATGTTAGTCAAAAAGTGTACATTTTCAGAAAACTATAATTTTTGACTTTCAAGTGTTAAATCAGTCGCAAAAGTTTTACAATCAAGGCAGTCATGAAATACATTTTTGATTTAAACACTCAATTGATTCATTTGCGAAGTTATACTTGATTAATAAATTAGAGTGGTTTGAGTGGATTCGTTTGTTTTTTACAGTGTAAAACAGTTGATTTGTAATTAAGAAATTTTTGAATACACTCATTTTATAATTCAGTTGTATTTGTTTATTTATTCGTTCTCTTACATTGAAGTACTCATTTGAATTTTATTTGTGTTAAATTCCTGAATTAACCACATCCAAGCCCTTATAATTCTATTTGTGAAGAATCAGTCATAAAAATACACATTTGGCTTAAACGCTCATTTGATTGATTTGCTAAGGTATACTTGATTTATAAATTGATTTGAGTGCACTCGTTGGATTCTTTATTTGTTTTACATTTGAAATATTACGCAGATATTAAAAATATAAAATAGGAGTAGTTTTAAATGTATTCATTTGACTTATTCACTCAGTTACACTTTAGAATTAATAGTGTTATGAGCGCACTCATTTGATTCATTAAAAAATTGATCCAGCAATCTTGAAATAAGACTTGTATTTACTTGACTAATTGGCAATAATATAGAGAGAAATGGTGTTTTGTAAAGCTACCGTTTATTAATGAGAAAAACTTGAAAAATTCAATTCTGGTTCTCTGCCAAAATGCAAATACAAATTCAAATACATATATTTACATTACAATAATGTTCGACCCAGTTTTTTCTTAATTGTGTAAATACTTTGAATGCCACAGAGATTCTTGAATATTTTTCATTTACACATCACATCTACTCGTCACATACATACCCGCATATGAGTATTCAAATGTGTTACACATGGGTTCTTCTATCAGGCTTATTGAATTTTGATTACTATTTATGTATGAGTGTGTGTGTGTTTTTTTGTGGCTCTGCCATTGTTGTGTGTGTGTGTGTTTTGTTTGCCATTTTTACGATTTATTTGCACAACATTTGGTTCCCATATGAATTTAATTTATACTTTCATTTCCATCTAAAATTTATACATTTTTACTTTATTTCTTGTACACATGTAGTAGCTGTAGTATTGTTGTTATTTTTGTTGCTGTTGCGGTTTTTGTTGCTATAGTGCGGCATTTTGCTTTTTATGTGTTTATTTGTTGATTTGTTTTCTGTTTCGTGTTGTTTTGATGCGCCTGAGTTTTGTTTTTTCTACACACATACATACATACATATATACATACATATATCAGAGAGAGAGGGAGAGTGTGGTGTCTGTCTGTGTGTTTGCGGCTCATAAAAGCAAACAGCGAAATAGTTTTTAATTTAATTCTTATTAGTTTCTTGACTTTTAGCCTTTTGTTTTTAGTGTGTGTGTGTGTGTGTTTTTTTTTAATAGCGCGGCTTTTAAGATTGCAATCAGAGAAGCTGTGGGCCATGTACTACTTACCGGAGTTGGTAGGACGAGCACTGAAGCTAACGGTCTATAATATGTACATACATACATGTATATAAATAGTTGGGAAGATGAGGAGTTCCGCCTTACGGTTAAGTGGTAGCCTATAGGAAGGAGTCATTGTTGATATAAATCATTGTCGGTGCACCGTATGGAGGCGAAATACATACATACATATACGTATATATATGTGTGTGTGTGTGTGTGAAGGTGTAAATATTCACAGTCAGCAGATAAAGTGGCAAAGATAAGGCCGGCACTCACACACATCCAAGTAATTATAGCGGGTCTGTGGCCCCTCGAGTGGGTAGGTTGGGGTAGGCAGGTAAATCAAGCCATGTCATATCTGGAGATAAGTTATAAATAGCAGTAGTGAGGCTTTTTTTTATGTCTAAAGTGGGCGCACATGGACGGCATTTGCGAGGCGCACGTATCATACACACTCGATATGGCGTCAATTGAGCAGAAGAATTTTCACTTCAGATGTGGGCAGAGCTCTTCGGGGGATTCATTTCAGTAATTCACGCTATGGCATATAGCAATATTTGTATTTGTTTGTGGTTTGAATTGTTTGTGCAGCTGTTGTCGTATAAATAAAATACATAATGCAAAAAACACTAATTTATGAATCAAACATTCTAACAATAGAATTCCAAAATTCCTTAGAATTGTGCATTGTGCGTAAAATTAAATAACAACATTTTTTGAATTAAAATTATTCGTGAAAACAAACATTATATTATAATAATTAAATACTTGTCATTGCGTAAAACTTAAACAATCTATGGATTCCAAACAGAGTCAAATATTTAACTATTTTGGGATCAGCTTACCCAACCTATAAGGCATTAATCTAGCTGACTCTGACGAATTCTTTCTTTTGAGTGCTTTGAGTGGACTCGTTTGTTTCTTGATTTGTTTTACATTTGAGGTATTCCGCAGTTATTAATAATATAATATAGGGATAGTTATAAATGTATTCCTTTGACTTATTCACTCAGTTACACATTAGAATTAATAGTGTTATGAACGCACTCATTTGATTCATTAAAAAATTTATCCAGCAATCTTGGAATTATACCTCTATTTACTTGACTTATTGGCTAAAGCTACAGTTTACAACATTCCTGACTTCTGTGAAAACTCCTTACTTCATCATGTCAACATTAAGTGAGGCCCAAAAGTGCTTGAAAGTTTGAACTAGAATTCTTTAAAAGTGCGATGTACTCGAATACTTGTATATCAGCATAAGAAATTGTTCTTAGTGTGCAATTGTTATAAATAGAAAGAGAGAGTAAGCACGAACTATTTATCAAACAATGCGATCAAAAAATACTGAGAACTTTTCTGAGATATAAAAAAAATCAAGGATTACAGAAAGGGAAGAAATAATTGGAGATACGTTTTAGGAAAGATTCTAAACTACTCACCCCTAATGGTACATATAGTAGAAATAAGGGAAGAAAGAACCACTTCACAAACTTGACACAGTTGTAGACACAGAGATAAAAAGTTTAGCCAATTATTGATATCAGATTTGTATTAATGGGAGTACTCCGATTCTGCACGGTGACTCTGGATTTATATGTGGGCTCTTTTATTCAAAAAGGTGTAATTCAAATTTCCACCTTAGTACAGTAAATGCTTAAATTTTTGCTCTCTTAAGCGATATTTACCAGAAAAGTGCTGATTCTACTTTCTAATAACTATTGTATTCATCAAATATACTAATGAGTAATCATTTGTTCATATTGCAGGACTCCGGCCAGGACATAACGAGTCGCGTATTCCAAGGTTGTGGACGTCCCCCATTGCGACGCGCCAAACGCGCTGTTAGTCCCAAATTGTTGCTGTCCGCGGGAGCCGTTGCTGTGCAGGAACCGCGGGTGGAGAGCGCCTTGGAGGCTGATATATTGGACATTGATGCAGCACTCGATGAATCGATTGTGCTGCGGGAAAGACGCAGCGCTGATCCGGGATCGCAGGAGCAACAGCCCGAGGGTGGCAATGGCAATGGCAACAACAGACGTCAGCAGGGACGCCGCAAGCAGCAACAGCCTCAGCAACAACAGCAGCAACAACAACAGCGACGCAAGCAGCAGAACAACAATCGGGACAATGACAATGATCGGGAGCCCATCCTTGATAAGATTGTGCGCGACATAAGGCAACGGGTTAAGGACTACAAAAAGTTTTGGTCCAACTTGCCGCATTCGCTCTGCAGCAACGATGATATCGCCGCCTCCTCGGATGCTGATGGCATGTGCTGGAATGGACACACCATAGACAGGTAATTTGGTGCTGGGAAGTCCAACCAAATCGATAAACTTAACGTGTCATATGGTTGTCTTACAGATATATGCATTCGGTGACCACAGAGTTGGGCACCAATCCAGAGTTTAGTGGCAATCCGGCGAGCACCCGCCAAACAGCGCAGATCTCAACGCAACTCTTCCATCTGAAGAACGCAATCAATCATTTGAGGAATGCGCACAATGGCCAGGATGTGGACTGGAGCGAGCAGGGTAAGTGGAGAGCAGTTGATGTTATCTTACGACAGAGCTAATCTATTGTCTGTAATTGCAGAGGAACCCTATTTGGGCAGCGGTGGCGGTTCAGGCAGCGGCTCCGAAGATGACGAGGACGATGACGAAGGCTCTGGCCTGGGACCGTTTGAGCCCAGTCACAAGCCCGATACAGAGAAGCCCGTGGGACGCGATGATGACGACGATGAGGATGATGACGACGAGGATGTGCATCGTGGTGGTGCTGGCGGTGGTGCTGGTGGGCCCGTCACCACCTACACCTCGCGTCCGAATGTGGACCACGACACGAATCCGCTGGACCATGACACGCACATCACTCACGATCACAACGAATTGAATCGCAGCGAGGACAATGCGGATCTCGATGAGGGCAACGATGCCGATGATGCCACGCGCTCCAGTGCGCCCGAGAAGATGACGCTCCGGCGCGCCCTCTTCGTCTATCTGCTGCCACTATATATGGCGTGGTTCGGTGGCGGCGTCTGTGCCGAATTGCTGTGATTATGTTAAAATGCTCGTCTGCCGCTTGTGTCTTCGTCCGCTCCGTACTCCTCCAAACGAGGCAAGCGAGGCACAAGCAACCAATGTGCGGCGGCGGGAAGGAGGGAGGAGGCGCAACATTATCGTGCAACAATGGGCCCGCTGCCTGCACCACACCTCTCAGTCATTCATCCATGAAACAAAATGCTAACAATTAATTAACAAATTTTATACGAAATGCAAGTCCAAAATTTTTGAAAAAACTTTTGCATACGCAGTTTAAAACAAAAGTTGAAAAAGCAAAGGAAGGAAATACGTAACGATCCCCATTTTAGTTGTATAACTCATCCGCTAGATTTAAGTGCGAAATTCTTGAATGTGTGTGTGCAAATGCCAGTCTCTCTGGCATTGTGTGTGTGTGTGTGTCTGTATCTGTGTGTGTCTCTGTATGTGTATTTGAGTGTGTGTGTGAGAGAGTGTGTGCATGCGGGTCTGTTTAATGTGATTGTTTAGCAAAAATTAACTATAAACATTTTAGCCCTAGCCCTAAGCACATATTTGTATTATATTTATATGTATACAACAACAACAACAACAACAGCAACAACAATAAGAAATATTGCCAGAACATCTATATTCTAACAATTAACAAAAGCGCAGCAATAACTAATTTTAAACGCTAAACTGTAATAACACACACACATATATATAGTATATATATTATTTGAAGCATCTTTGTACGATAATTTAGGTTCAAAGTTACAATCCGAGTACTTTTCGTAGCAAGCGCAAAACAAATATAATTAATTATATTTATGTAAATGCCTAGTGTGTGTGCTTCTGTGTTCTTCCGACTCATTAGGCACTCGTAACTCTACAAATATTTAATTTATTTTTGATTTTGATAAATTGTATTTTACAATATTATTTTGTGTATTAAAACAAATACAACACGTAACATACGACAAACAACAATAAAATAACTGCATTTTCTTAATCCCTTATATTTAAGATCTTGAAATCGTTTTCAAATCATGACTAACTCGTTCCAAGTTAGCAGTAGAAGACAACTTCTTAATAACTTAGGTTAAATTATTCAATGGGAACAAAAACTAACTTAAGAACCCACACTCACAAAACAAAGATCAAGGATTAAAAGAGGCCGAAGCTATCCAAGCTACTTCTTTTGATTATTTCATGCACTACGTCCATGTCAGAATTTTTCATTTCTACAACTTTTTCATTTTCTGTAACTTCCGCTATTCTTAGAATTTTAAACTCAAAAGGAAAGGGGGAAAAATCAAAAAAATAAAATAAACCCGTATAGACTAGGAACTATGAGCGTCTGCATACCAAGTGTGGTTCATGTGCGTTCAGCCGTTTCCGAAATCCAGACGTTTATCAGACGGACGGACAGACAGACGGATGAACATCTCTTGATCAATTTCTCTCGGCATGCTGATCAAGAATATTTATATTTATGGGGTCGGATATGCTTATTTCTGTCTGTTACATACTATGTGCAAACCTAATACGTATGTATAACCTTTTTACCCTACAGATTATGGAACTAACTAATTATTTTATATACTTTTAGTGCATAAAAATCTAATGGCAAGGTCGACCGGATGTGACGTCTTCAGACCCCTCCTCATAAGCCATGGTAGGACATCTTCATGGGTTCGTACCCACCCCATGTACTGCGCAGCTAGCTCGTTAAGGAAGTCACCAATTTTGGATAGTCCTTGGTCCTTTTCGATTACGCAGCTGCGAGCACCGCGTCACTTACCATAAGGAAATATTTTATACAGTTTTTTAATTTCAAATAAAACAACTTTTAAAATATAACAACCTTTCTCTTTTTTATTGATTTGCTGCAGGAAGCAGAATCTGATCCTTATCCGTCAACTTCAGGCAAACATAAATCAGCAGCAAGTCCTAAAAAGTGTCCTTTTTTATTTGCGTTCATTTGTATGTAGTTGTACCGCTGCAACCAATTTTTCTATTTATTTATTTAATAATTAATTCCGGTTTGAAACCGGCTACCGTTAAAAAAAAGTGTAGCATATCATACAGCTGAACTAAATTTTTAATTTAATTGGTTTGAAGACCGGCTGCAAAATGGTTTGAAACCTGGCTTTAAAGTTCACTTTGCCGAATTGATTTGAAGGCCGGCTGCCAAATTGGTTTGAAGCTTGGCTTACATTTATTTTTTTGTAATTTTTTAAAATCATCTTGTTGCTGGTTTATGTTCGCCTAGTAGTTGGGATTTTGGATTTAAACATTTGCAGGCGATTTTATAAATTTTAGGAAAGCCGCAGCTGCCCTCGTACTTAGTTTGCAAATTGGCATTTTTGCTACGTATTAGGCGAACATAATGCAGCAGGAAGATGATGTATTTAAAAATAAATGCAGTCAGGTTTTAAACCATTTTGCACCCAGGCTTCAAACCAATTCGGCGAATTGGTTGGAACCCCAGCTGCTAAAAGGTGTGAAGACCGGCTAACATTAAGAAAAGTGTTGCATCTTTTAGGCGGCCGAATTTAATTTTAAATTTTCAAAAAAAATGCATCTTCCTGCTGGTTTCTGTTCGCCTAGTACTTCCGATTTCGGATTTTTAGCATTTACAGGCGATTTTAAAAATTTTAGGAAAGCCGCAGCTGCCCTCGTACTTAGTTTGCAAATTGGCATCTTTGCCTCGTACTAGGCGAACATAATGCAGTAGGAAGAGGATTTATTTAAAAATTAAAAAATAAATTTAGCCAGGCTTTAAACCATTTTGTAGCCAGGCTTCAAACCAATTTGACATGTTGGTTTGAGCCTCAGCTGCTAAATGGTGTTAAGACCGGCTAACATTAAGAAAAGTGTAGCATCTTTTAGGCGGCCGAATTTAATTTTAAATTTAAAAAAAATCATCTTGCTGCTGGTTTCTGTTTGCCTGGTACTTCAAATTTTGGCTTTGAGCAATTTGAAGCGTTTTGGCCAGCTGCCAAACTGAATTTTTTTTATTTATGAGTCAGCTATACAACTATGAGACCTTCCTATAACAACCCTCTTCACACCCCTCACAAACCGCACTAATACAAAATCCAATTAAAGTGTATTTTAAGGTATTTTTATTTTCTTTTATTTACAAATTTAAAAAACTAATAAATATTGTTATAATTAATGTAAATTAGATACATAGAAAAAATTTAAGATAGAAAATAAAATATACACGAAAAAGGACACCAAAAGGACATCCATTATCATTATTATTATAATTATTATTATAAATATTATTATAAATGTTATTATTAAAAATTTTAATACTATACATTTTAATATTATTATAATCAATTTCTTATTATTATATAAGCAATTTCTTCGTTTTGCTCCTCGTGGCTTGAACTTTCGTTTGCCATTCGAATCAAGCCGACTTCTGCTCAGAAGATTGATTCTGCCGTTGGCTAATCGCAGGATTGTCCTTGGTGTTGTGTTTTACCAAGAACAATTATTGTCGGGGGACGAAATTCCGTCTGCCCCATTTCATACTCTTTTGAGTTATCTCCGGCTGTGAATCGGGGTATGACTTGCAGGACAGGCTGTAACATACAATTTGAAATAAGTAAATATACATACAAGTATAATTACATACATACATTCGCACTAAACTAGTATACCCTTTTACCCTTTGGATATAAAAAATATGCGTATTTTACTCCAAAAGGTATGTGTAGTATGCATATGTAACATATTTATTTATATATATGTACAATAATAGATGAATGGATTATTTGTGACCAATTCCTTTAAATCATGGTTGGTTTGAGGCGAATCTCTTGCATTTTTCCAAGCGAATTAACACGGCGCCATCTAGTGCTCATTTGCTGAGAGTAACAAGTTGTGGTCAGAACTACAACAAGTTATCTACCTCGTGGTAAATTGTTATTCACCACAAAATCGTCGAACCAAATTCCGTTAGAAATGCGTGTTGATTAGGCTTTTGTTTTATTCAAAAATTAAATCAATTAAAATGTTTGCAACTTTTAAAATTGTAAATTTAAAAGCTGTTTGAAATACGCATTTTGTTTCAGCATCGAATAAATAGGCTTATCTGTTTGTGTGCATTTTTGCATATTTAAAATTTATTCAAATACTATGAGAAAACCAGAACAGATAAAAGTAAAAGTGTTAGCCGGACGCTCCACATGTATGTGGGTCTCTTAATGAAGCGTAAATTGTGTTAGATCTACAGGAAACAAGATTGGTAATACCTAAGAACGGCAGAATCTAGAAGACTCTGTGGCGTCGAAGATGTGCGGACAGCTAATTCTCGTTCCCCAGATCGATGTCCTCAATCTCCGCATTTTCGAAATGGCCATCGTTATCAATAGTAGGAGCGAAATTATCAACCAGTTCGTCATCAAAATCGTCAGCTGGCTGCTCACCATCACCATCAGCACCATCAGCACCATCATTGGCATTTGGGTTGAGGGGCTGGAAGGTCTCATGCAACTGGTTCAAGGATGTCTCCAAAGTGTTGACTCGCGCCAGCAATTTTTCTAAGCGTTTGTCGATCTCGTCAAACGATTCCGGCTCTGGTTCTATCTCCTCCTGTTTATTGGTTGTTGCATTGTTCTTGTTAGCAGACATTATTTGTATGTTATTGTTTTAGTTGTTTGCGCCTCGAATTTCAAAGTTATACTGAAATATAATGTGAAATTTGTAGGCTTCACCACTAAAGAGTAAAGCAGAGCCTGCTGTAAGATATAGTGGAAGCTAGAGAGAAAATCAATTTAAGTGTTTTATTGCGATCTAGTTAAATAATAAAAGTAATCTAAATAATTCCAAAATCAAAAATATAATATATAGATATTTCTAATCATATTAAATTTCTTGTAGTTTTAAATAATACTTTTCTAATGATTCGGCAAATACTTTTTTTAATACTATACAAACAAATATAAACATGTATTTTTATCAATGTAACTATTTTATAACATTGCTTCTAAAAAATGCCTTAGCTGTGTTTCTATTATTGTAAAAACATTTGATTCCCATTTAGTGCTCATTTAATTTGCATAAAAATAAAATATTATTTTCTATTACCTCACGAAAACATTGTTCTATTGTTACATTGAATAATTTTTGATTGTTCCCATCATTATCTTGATCTTGATTGAGCTTCATCGAAATTTTTGGTAGATAAATTTGACTCCATTGTCGTTATTAAAATTTTTGATTTATATTGAAGAAAGACAGGTGCAATTTACTTCAAAAATTGCGAAGACAGTTCCACCTGAGATGGATTCACATGTGAGCTTAATTATTGATTATCCTTCAAATGGAGAGCAATTCAATACACAAATGAATTTAACATAATTTAATGATGAAGATAAAAAAAAGAAAAATAAAAATGGCCTCATTTGGCAAAGTGTTGTGTCCTCAAGATAATGTATTATGTAGTTCCAAAAATAATGAATAAAAGTTCGATTTGCTTCTTCACGTCCCCAATTCGCCTCTCTGCAAACCTCGCCTCTGGTTAGGTTAGGTTGATATGGGTGTAGCATAGGTTCCCTCTCCTACACTTTGGCCTAGGGAGACCCATTGTGATGCTTTTTAATGCCCTTTGTTCCCTTTCTTTAGTCTTCGGTATGTCTGCAAGATCATCTAGGAAGGGGTTCCCCAAAATGGCCGGTAACATTTTCGTCTTTTTCGTATCTCTGCTGAAAATATTTCATGCCGAGTCGAGCGTGGCACTGCCCTCAAATCTGTACTATGCAATCTTTATTCCTAAATATTGTTAATTATAGTATCATAATACATTATGTATTAGTATTATTTTATTTACATTTATTTGGGGCAGAATTTGTCCTTCTTCTAAATTTCTAGGGATCAACTAGAAAAACGAGTTTGTGTTATGAAAGATATTTCTTTATATCTCTACAAATGTATATTCAAAAATATATATAGAAATCTGACTCCATTTCACGGTGTTATTCAAACAATTTCCACGAATTTATTGAACTTTTCTCTTACCAGCCAGGCTTCTTGACGGTCTGGGCCAACCACATAAAGTTTTGGCCGCTTGGCGCTGCGTGCGCGAGCTTATAAGTGACCGGAACCGCAGCTCCCTGCAACGCGCCAGCACCTACAACAACATCTACAGCCGCAGCCGCAGCAGCCACAGCAGAAGCTGGAAGCCGCAGCCGCAGCCAGTGCCAGTGCCAGCGATCTGCGACAAGATCTCTGAGCTTGTGGCTTTTTCAGTGAGCGTGCGAGCGGCAAACGGTAAACAACACACGAAAAAAAGCACAGCGAAGAAAATTTTGAAAAGTCAAAAATCGTGCGCCTCCAACAACGCTGCCTCGCGCCCCGCTTGCCGACTAATTGAAAACAAAAATACATGCAGTGCCCACAAAAATAAAAAATCAAACGAAAATCGTATCCAAAAGATGCGCGAATTTGTGTTTTTTATGCCGAAAGTTGAAATAATTACGCAAGGCGGCAATTGACGGCACGTGTATGTGTGTGTGTGTGTGTCTGTGTGTGAGAAGTGGAAAGTGAATAAAAGACATTAGAAAAACTGGAAACTTGCAATTATTGTGAATGCTTATTAATTGTCCGCAGCGAGTTGTGCAATTCGAGAGGCAAAACAAAACAAATGGCCTCCAACGGTTGTGTACAAGCTAATTAGCTAAAGTTATTTACTGGTCTTATCAACACACCAGTTGGAAGCGTCCAACGCCAACCACTATCGCCCGTAAGTTTTCTCTAGACTAGAGTCTGGCGTCTGAGCAAAAAGCCCGTTAAGCAAAAAATATATATGCATACAATATATTTAACTGAAATTGTATAAACAAATATCAAAACGAAAGAAAACAAAACCTGTAGCTCTGCAGTCTCATCATCTTCATCATCATCTTCGTCGTCGTCGTCGTCATCATCATCATCATGATGTTAAAGTTCTTTCTTTCTAGCGTTCCAGTAGCCAAGTTAGCTTACTTTTGACTTTTGCGTTCAGCGCCCGACAACCGTTCGTTTGTTCATCTTTATTTGCCGCCTGCGCCCATTGTTGTCTCTTCACACACACACACACACACACACATACCAACTAGCACATAACGCACATACACAGACACAATTTACAGCTGTTTCATGCGAAACCAGTTTTCCACTTTTTTCAGCTAAGTTTCTAGTGATATTTAAAGCTGCAGCAGAAAAAGAAGTAGCGCTTAGATACTTGCAACTAGTTTTAGGAGGCATGCTGCAACGAAACTGAAAGTTTATGCGGCTGCCAGCTTTGGCTTCTGCTGCCCGGCATTATAACCCAGCAAGCATTTTCCATTGCCGCCGAATTACGGTTTTCATCATTCAATCCGGGGGATATATCGATGGTTGGAAGCAAGGGCGTAGGCAGCTTTTACCAAAGGGGGGGGCCCAAAAAATTAAAATTTTGATTAAATAATGCACGATGCATTTAAAAAATAACTTATGCATATGATCAATGAAAAAACTTCAACAAATGCAACTCAGATCCATTTTAAGCCGAAATAGTGCGTCATAATAATGAACGTGTTATCTGTATAATTGCTTTCTCCTGACCTTCCCCTTTCGATAAATGTATTTTTTAATTTTGCTACAAGACTTAAATATGTACAAAAAGGGAAGATTTCTGAAATATTGATGTATTTTGAGCATTCCAAGCATTTGAAGCTAAAAAAAAAAACATCTTTTAAAAATACCTGACCTCAATACTGCAGACTGGCTTTCTCTTGACCTGCCATTTTCTATAAATGTACTTTTTAATTCTGCTACAAAAAGGGGCGATTTCTGAAATAAATTTAATAAAAATATAAAACTTATTCAAATTTCTGAGGTGACAAAAACGTGTACAAGAAAAATGAAATGGAATAGTACGAAGTTTCATTATAGACTATAAATCTATTTATACCAAATGCTAAACTGCATTCAAATTCCTTTCTATAAGCGTCACAACAGAAAGCTAATTACAGTTAATAGATATATTATATTTGTCTATAATTACAAATTGTTGCTTAAAAGTAAAAAAAAGTCATTCCAACATCTTTAATAATTGCAAATTATTTCATCAGCAATACATGACATGAACATCTCATCAACGGATTTTATTTTTATAAAGTTTTGCAAAACATTGGAAGGTAAACGTTCCTTAAAAAAAAACACACACACACACACATGCTTATTATTTAATCTAATGGGCAAAGCAAATGTAGAATAGCAGAATAGAATGTTTATTTTAGTTTGTATTTATCATATGAGATAATGCGGCTGTTAAAATTTGAACAAATACACAATTTTTGACAACGGGCTTGCCTGTGCAAATTGCTTCGTTAACATCGAAATTTCCGGAGGTACATAATAATTTCAGTCGCTTTAGATGGATTTTCGTTTTAATAAAGAACAAATTTAAAATAAACCGGTTTTTTTTCTTATTATATTATTATTCTTATCTCTGAAACACTAATTATCTTAGAAATTAATTGCGATTTTTAGAGCAGAATCCAACATCAAACCCCTTTCTTAACAAATAATACAAGCTTAGACGATTATTAGGTTAAATATTTAAGCAATTGATAATCAGAAAATTTTCTTTTGATGATAAACCCAATTAGCAACAACAATGTAATTTTCTGCTCTTAATAATTCGAGTAGACACGAAATAATTGAATATTTTTATTCAATCTAACAAGTTCAATTATTTTTGACCTACATATTTGGATTTGTTATTTTCCAAAATTAGATCTTAACGTCATCGTCTTGTTGATATCCAGCTTCAATATTTGTGGGGTGATGGGCGTTACGGCTCTGCAGCTGACCATGGGCTAGCGGGGTTTTCTTTTTGGACCTAGCAGTATATACACTGAATACAATCTCTATAACCTTCAAACTATAGTTCTAGAGTTAGCCCTGCAGTAATCGAAATTTAATTAAAAAACTTCTTGCTTAGCTTAAAAACTTCCAAATATTTTTTACATTTCATTCCTTAAAATGATTGCAAAATTGTTTAAAATATCATAAATAATAGTTGCCGTAACATGAATCGGCAAACCTATAGCAGAGCAAGGTTTTGATCCTCGGACCTCTGGGTTATGGGCCCAGCACGCTTCCTCTGCGCCACTCTGCTTCCTTTTAAACTCCGACACAAGTTCAACCCCTTACATACTAAAAACCACCCTTGTCGGCCGCTGAGACTATACAAACCACCTTTTAAATAAAGCTCGGCAAATGTTTATCGCGCCAAAAGCTACCGTTAAGCAAAGCACTTCAAAAGCTTGTCGGCAAGCTTTTTATATTCAACATTTTTCAGCGATAGTTTCGCGCCAAACTCTTGGCAGTTATGTAAAAATAATAATAATACTGAATAGTACTGTGAAAACCATTTAAGCATTTGGAAAATAAATTAAATTATTGATTAATTATTAATTGCTGTTTTTAGATCAACATCGCCTTTGCAGTAACGAGTAAAATACAGTAAATTGTTTTCTCTTTTTAACCTTTTGTTAAATTTTTCAGCTGGATTTTGAAGTAGAAATCTAAGCGGCTGGTTAGCGGGTATCAGAATTCTTCCATAATGCATTGCTGCTTCACATAAAAGGTGACAATAGAATCTTAGAATCTTACCAAGAATATTCATTGAAGTTGTCCGCCTTATTAGAGTATCGTGGGGGGCTGTAGTTGTCCCCCAAATCGTTTGTAGTTGATTTATCAACCAAGTGTCATGTTCAATAGATCAGAAGAACTAATACTTGTAAATATACTTTGTGCTTAATAAAGGGCATGCATTTAATACTGTACCTGGAGGATAACAATGATTATCATTGTGGAATATTCCGCGTTGAATAAATCCGAGATATCTGAACTTCGGCTATTACGGTCCAAAAAAAAGAGCGCCAAAAGCTCAAACCTCAATCCCAGTGAAATTCTGTGGAAAATATGTATAATATAAGAAATTACCCAATATTTAAAGATCAACTTATCAGCAGAGTACATTAAACATTGACTTATTTAAAGAATTTGATAAGCAGTATGGCTAAGAGAGTTATACAAAAAATCCAGCAATGATATAAAAAATGTTTGTGGAAAAAGTGTATGGGTTTTTCTATCTCTCCATTTTCTGTTACTTTCTAATAATTGAATAAATATTAATAATTTAACATCAATAATTTAATTTGGTTTTTCTGTTCAGCCCTCTTTGTAGAAAGGGCACAAAAGTTTACAGAATTATTTATTCAGCTAAGAACTGCAAAGTGTGCTGGAAGGAAATGTTTTTTTTTTTCATTTTCTTTCCACTTCTCATTGTAACATGCAATGGATTGGACAGCCATTTAAGCCTACAATATTTAAATTTTATTCAGTTAATATATATGAGTACAAAATATGCATACAGTTACTAAAATAGAACTACAACTAAGTTGCATTGTCTCTTCACATCTCCACGTGTCCCCCCGTGGTCCTAGAAGTCCTCGTCGCAGAAGCAACCGTCCCGCGAATTCTCCACAATCCAGTCCAAGTATTTAGTGACGCGTGTATAGACACCCGGATAGTTGGGCCTGGCACAGCCATTGCCCCAGGATACAATGCCAATCTGTTCGAAGCGTTTGTCGTCGGGTCGCAGGCGCACCAAAGGACCGCCGGAGTCGCCCTGGCAGGAGTCGCGCTCCCCCACCCCCGGATAACCGGCGCACATCATATTCTTGGTGATCATCTTCTGGGTGTAATTCGTCTGCGCCACGCAATGCTCGTTGTCCAGTACGGGCACCTCGACCTCCTGCAGCAGGCACGAGGGCTTGCCATCCTCCTTTAGCGTGCCCCAGCCAGTGGCAATGCCCCGCGTGCCCACAAACAGGTCGTTGCGCTGCTCCGCCCGCGGCAGACAGATGGGGCGTATGAAGCTGGTGATCGGCACGCGATCGTTCAGACGCAACAGCGCAATATCGTTGTCAAAGTTGGAGAAGCTGAACTTCTGGCTGAAGGCGCGCAGCACGAAACGCGTCTCGGGTCGCTCCTTGTCGTTGCAGCGATCGTGCTCCCCGAACGTGACCTTGATCATGAACCACATGAAGCCCTTGACGCAATGGGCGGCCGTTAGAACGTACCGATCGTTGATCAGAGTGCCGCCGCAATAGAAACGATTAAAGTAACTCAACCGGGCCATCCAGGGGTATTCGCTGACGCCCGTCGTGGTGCCCCCAACAATGCGTGACTCGTCGTTCCGTTCGCCGCATCTGCAAGTAAAGTGGTTGTCATGTTAACTAGAAGTTGCAAGTGCAGTGGAAAGCAGTGTCCGCCTCATACGCTAAGTACACTCAGAAAAAAAGAAGAGATCAAATAACGCCAAAGAAAAGCAGGGCGTTTGATGCCCAGAATTCAAAAATCAACAATCCTTTTTTTTTATGAACAGCCTAATACTGGCAAGTGTGGGGACAACATTTTGTAAGGCTTTTTATTCTATTTCTATAACGAAATATTTCTCTCTTTGTGATTTTAATTAAAATGAAAATGAAATTAAAATCCGTTAAAAAAGAAAGCGATTACTCTTCAAAAATAACTGCAGTTCCAGTTTAGAAAACTGACCATGTCGTAAAGGAAATAAAGGCTCAGCAAATGAATATAATGAAATAATAGAAAATTTGCGTATAAATTTATATATACATATGTGATAAAACGCCACAAGGTTTTAGTATTGAAAAGTAAAAAATAAGGAGTGGTTTATATAGTGTTTTTTTTTTTAAATCACAAGTTATTTTCTCTCTGGAAGAGGGTTTGGACATGGGGTTGCAGGATGGCGCTACAGGCCACAATCAATCTTTTGTTCTATAATGGGTTCGGTTATCAATGAGCTTTTTTCAACCATCTAAAAAGTGATAAAAAGTATAAACAATTTTAAAATCATATACTTCATTATCTTTCTCTCTCTCTCTCTCTTTCTAGTGAAACGTGATAAGAAAAGATATTTATACATTAAAGTCTTATACTTTTTCCGAACTTTAATTAGATATCTGTATTTGTATGACATCTTGAAAAATATATTTTTCGACCCTAATCACACTTAACCAACTTTAATCCAAATTTTCAGCATTCTAAAAGAGCTTTTCAAATAGCGAATAATTACAAATTTTTAAAACCTTTCAAAACCAACAAACTCTTTAAAAAACTCTACTTTTTACATATCTTCAAAATATATTTTTACATAAACCACAAAATAAAAATTTAAAATAATGCAATTTTGAACATTTAATTTATCATTTAAATTTTAAGAAGGTTCATCGAACGAAAAAGGGCTCATTGAAAAATTCGATGCTAATATTAAGTGATACATAATACGATCTGCTCCATCACCTCGATCAGAACTGTAACTGCAGTGTCAAAGTCTCAAAATATTGAAATAATTTGCAATGACCTTTGCTTAGGCACAGATAATTAGTTCAACCATCAGTGGCGAACTATCAATGGGGATTCCCATGATGCTAAATGGGATGATTTTTTGTCTTCATGTTTTTGACAAGTGTATGTATGTAGTTGCAGTGTGTGTTTAGGCCCGGCCGTTAGTCAATAACTCATGACTGATGACCCTAATCAATATGCACAATAGTTGGCCAGCGTTGTCGATGGCGTTGTGGTTGTCATTGGCATTGCCATTGACGATTGTCTTTATGCTAATGCCCCGCAAACGGTCAGCAACCTCAGACATCGCTTAGACAATTTAACAAGACCCATTAATAAAGCCATAAAGAAAGTGTCAACGAGCTTTATGGTCAATAAAAAGAAAGGGCATGGCTGGCGATTTGCAGTTTTTCCAACCGTTTTAGTTATGCGCAGCATAATCAGCATTTTTGGCATTTCCTTTCTTTAAAACTGGTTTCGGGGCATCAAAATTTCAACAAAAAAAGTAAAAATCTCAGATCTGTCCGCCAGTCAGTCAGACAGCCAACCAGGCAGCCAGCCAGCCGGTTCGGGCCAACCCAAAAAAAAGGAAACACTGCAAGTTCTGGCGCACGTCTTTTTTGTTTTCGCCACAAAATCAATCGCTTTCAACAACAAAAAGAACAACAACAGTAACTACCACAAGCATGTATCAACAACAACAAAAAGATGAAGGCGGCTTAATCGTGTCAATGCCCCATAAAACTTAAGGCGCAGTCTTGGCCAAGGCAAGATGTCCCGAAAAGAGTCAGAAATGTGCGACCTACTTAAGTGAATGCGCATTATCCAACAACAACAACAACAACACCAACAAACCTATGTACCTATGTATGTGTATACTATACTATATATATATATAAGCGTGTTCGTTCGCATGCGTCATACATATGAAAACCTTATATGGCATATCATATACAATACAAGTATAAAACACATCGGCTGTGTTTTGGCCGCTTTGCTTTTGACTGTTATATGTAAAATGCAAATTAGTCCAAGCCTTTTTTGTATAAAATAATAAGAGGAATAAGAACTGGTTTATTATACTAAGAGCTGAACTTAAATTAAGCGCCAATCGGTTTATAAAAGACGCACATAATCTGTGCGAATTGTAAAGCAGAAGGAGAAAAAACAAAAACACAGAACTAAGAGATTAGGCCTTTCTATCAGATACATAGAAAAGACAATAAGGCCAAGCAGTTGTTTTATTTTCTAGATTTCATTTATACAAACCAATTTGTTTGCCCGTTAAAGTTGTCCAACTGGTAGTAACGAAGCTCTAAGCGTTGGTGAATTACTTAATTTGTAGAGTCAATCAAAATATTTACGAACTTCTTTGGCGCTACCACGTGTTTGTCAAAATACTTCAGCAAATGTTTTCTCTTTGATAAGTTTGATAATTTTATATAATTTTTAAAGCGAAAAGAATTTAAAAAAAAAGAAAAGAAAAAAATGCAAATACAAAATATGGCATCCCTGCGGTCAGTTGTTTTGAAAGTGCCTTTTAATGGAAAATTTTTGCACAACAGAAGAATTCCCACAAAAAAAGGAAGACGTCAAAAATTTTCCGATGAACAACAAACAAGTGCAGATTCCGTAAAGGATTAATCTCTGAATTAAATTTCAGTATTCCTTGAATTATTTAACATTAAAAGACAAACTGAGAAACTAATGATCCAACTAATTGGACTATATATATATATATATCGAAAGAGGCTGCTATCGCCACGAATATTCGGTTCACAACAAAAGAAAGAAAAGTCATTCTCAAAAGTTTTAATAATTCACAATGAGTAGGTTCAAAGAGGACCTAATATTAATTTAGAGTGTTTAAATAGACGTCTCGGATTCAGAAGTACCATAAAAACAGTTTAGGGCATCTCTGCTGCCTGAATAACAATTCAATATTTTGGCTCTTCCATATGAGACTAGCGAGTCTACCATACTATATAGGTTTCAATCCCCAAGTGCTTAGATGGACATGGCTCAGATGATGCTTCAAAGAAGCTAAAGTTAATGCAAGATGCAGCCAAACAGTATCCATTCGATCGATAAATAATAGAGCACCCATTACAAAGCACAAAACTTTTCATTTAGAAAACTGGAGATCGAGGAAAACACATTTGACAACGCTTGGAAACGCATTTCGCGCCTTCACCTTCAACTCAAGTGTTATTCGTGTATCTGGCTCTGTAGTATGTATCTGTACCTCCGTACTTTGTATTTAATTTGCACAAACACTTCTTTTTCATGTGAGGCTACGACTGCAAATTCTTTGGTTGTTGGCCGCTCCTACTCGTAAGTGACAAATGCAATTCCCCAGGCAATGATCGCATGGAACGATCGCATGCTCGAAATGGTCTGAGCAATTTGTAGAAGGAATTTCAGGAATGCTTTCAGAACGCAATTCTATAGAGAAAAGCCAGAGTTGGTCGGCTGGTCGGTCGGTCTGTGGGGAAAAGAAGGCAGTCGCATGAAAAATGCTGAAAATGCCGGGCTGTTAAGGTCAACTTACGAGTAACTTGAAAAGTGGCTGCGACAAAAGTCTAAAGTGCCGCCGCCTCTAGAACCAAGGTTATAAAAGTGCCAATGCTGGCCAGAATGAAATGCAAAAAAAAGCATACGAGCTGAGACAATACTCGAAAAAGTCTAAGGCTATGCTCAATGAATTTATGCAATTAGTTGCCATTTATGCCAAGTCATTTATTTTCTTAACGGCTTTAAGAAATAAATCTGTTGACAAACTGACAGTCGTGCTGAGAGACGATGGGGTTTGGGGGATCAGTTGATCGCGTGCTGGTCGCGAAAAACAAGCAAAATTATTACTATCATAGACGAGTGGAAGAATATATACTCTACTTGTACTCGCACTAAGTTTCAGATATTTCGGAAAGTTGTTCTAAATTCAAGCTGCTGAGACATCGATCCGGCTAAATCAAAATAAGCAAAACAATATAAATATATTAAAAATTAAATGATTTGATATACAGAAATTTGATTAAAAGTCTTATGAAATTATAAACTTGAATGGGGAGGAAAAGCTATTAAGCGACAAATATTTCCCTGTAAAGTTTTATATGATATGGTAGAACGACAAGAACAAAAGATAGGAAATATCTGTTGGAACATAAAGAGATGAATTTGTAGATAGATGGATCAATAGATGAATAGAAAGAAAATTATAAACAGATAATTATGGGTAGATATAATGATATAGAGCTTGATAAATGTAAGAAGAAAGACAGGTAAATAAATATATATGTATTTATCATATATAAAGATGATAGATCATAGATCAGCAGATTGCTGTGTGGATATATAGAGCAACACGGAGAAATCTGGTTGAACAGATGGTTTTAGAAAAAGAAGAGTGTACATTCAGTACGGATTTATTTACCATATGTACAGAACGAACAGAAATTGCTAGTCGAATAGTAAAAAGAATAAGGTGATTAGATATTATTATAAAAGTTATATTAGAACCTCCTATGCTTTCAAGCTAAGATGATAAAGTTCAAATCTTCCGATCCAATTATTAAATCAAAAGAAGAAACAAATTGGATCTCTAGCAAAACCAATAATACTTAGCTATAGGCGGAGGTAACTTTATATTAATAAATAGTTAGAGAGATAGTTTTGGACTGATATGATAGTGAAATTTTAATAGAGGACAACTGTAAAAAGTGATTTAGAAATGCTCTTTCATTACAACTTTACAAATTTCTCATTTCCAAACATATCTTCGAGAGTCTGTGTGACAAACCCCAATCAGTTGTTGAGCATTCTTTTAGCAAGAGTATTAAACTAATAATAGTAATAAATAGTAAATAGAAAAAGGAAAAAGCATACATAAATGTATCTGTATCTTTAACTGTAAGCGCTATTTGTGTGTGACAATGACATCGAGCTTGTTGCATGTTGCATGCTTTAGTTGTTGTTGTTGCTATACTATAACCGATAGTTGTTGTTGCTGTTCCTGTCGGCATGACCATGACAGCTTTTTTCTTCCTCATCATCCTCTTCTTCTTCGCCTGCCTACTGTTTGTATCTTTTTGCTTGCTTGGCTCACCTGCAGGAACATGTGGCGGTCTGTTCTTGAGCCGATGGCGAATTGTTGCGATTGAAGGCACCACCAAACCAATTCTTGATCGGATTCTGTCGGGATACTGGTTTGGTAGCGGCATCCAGAACACTTGTTGCAGTCGAGACGATGTGCAGCTTCTTTGGCTGTTGTTGTCCATAGGCCTGATACTTGCCCGGTATGGTTGCTGATGTCGACGCCGAGGCTGAGGCTGTGGATGAGAATGAGGTGGAGGATGAGGTTGAGGCTGGGGATGGGGCTGTTGCTGTTGCTGTCGTCTCGCCGATCAGACTGCCAATGATGCAGGAAATGATGGCCAGCATTAATTGTAAATGACGTAAGTGGAGCAGCATTTTGTGGCAGTTGTTGTTATGTTGCTGTTGCTGTTGTTGTTGTATTTGTATTTGTTATGCAATTTCATGCATCAAACTTAATGGGCGCCTAAACGGTTTGTCGCCGTCTCCGTCTCCGTTGGGACTCCTGCTGGCTTCGTTGTGTCGGCTCGTTTGCTTAAACCGTTAGCCAAAGAATGCGCTTTGAATTATTAAAAGTATTTTTATCGCTCTTCTTCACACCTCGTCTTTTTTTCATAGATTGTGGAAGTAAATATGTAAATCAATTGTTATCGAATTGTTTTTTTTCACGCGTTTTCACTGAACAAAGCTCTGTCACTGCTTCTTAGCTATTATTTTTATTTTTGTTATACATTGACGATCTTTATCTGCATCTGTATTTATTTATCAAACCATTTCCACATCCACGTAATTCAAACGGTCAACAAGTCGCGTCGAATTCTTCTTTATTTTTTTTTTATATTTTGCCTCGACTGTCTCCTCTTTTCGTACCGCACACGCGAAAGTTTGCAAACAAACTGACAGCGACAGTCGCCGACTTTAAGCTCTGACCATGGCCAGGCTTGCTGCTGGCTGCGCTGCCGGCGTCGCTGCTCCCTCTCTCTGCGCTGACTGCAAAGAAAGCATGTCCGTATGTAACGCCGCTGCCGATGTCGCGCCTGCGTAGCCGGCGTCCGCTGAATGCGAGACGCAGAGACAAATGAGGAGGCGCATTCTACTCTTTATTTATTTTTTTATTTTTGTTGTCCCCGTTGTGTTCTCAATATGCTAATGTGACAGTTTGTTGGGTGTATGGGTGTTGCGGATATGCGTGTGTGTTTGTGGTTCTTTCTCGACATCCACACTTTGTTCTGCTCTTCTTCTGCGTCTGCGTCTGTGTCTGCGTGTGCGTCTATGTCTGGGCCTGGTTACGAGTGTTGTCAATTGTCGTTGGCGTCGCCGCTTAGAGTTTGTTTATTATGCTCAAAGCGTTCATACACCGCGAGAATTTAAACGCATATTTGCAATGAGTAAATTCTTTGACAATGGTTTTCTTTTATAACTCTATAAAGAAGTAATAGTATGCTATGGTGGCGCCTAATTATCCCCATTTGGCAATATATATTATGCATATACATGCTTGGGTAATTTTAATATATACTCCCCTCAAAGGGCACATATATGAAGAAATTTCCGAACTCTATCAATTTGCAAAATACTCAAAACGTATTGCAGTTCTTATTTAATTGAATTAAATACTTATTTAATTTGAAATATCAAGGTACCTTGTTGGGGAAAATTACACTTGAATATAGATTTCTTATCCGTTTCAAATTAAATACATAATGTTTATGACATACTGTTAACATTCGACCAATTTGCATTCAAATTATTTGCCTGGCCGACCCGAGCTTAAACCACATCGCTCGAAATATGAAACAAAAAATTTATTTTTAATGTAAGGTAAATGATTTTATTTTAATTTATTGAAGAATTGTTCAGATTAAAACAAATAATTTTTTTTACATATATTCGGAAAAGTATAAACCACAAACAATTCAATTACAAATGATCAAGTTTCAGCATTTCGCAGCAAAAAGTATTCCAGTGACATAAAAAAAACTAATAAAATAAAGGATCCTTTTCAACAACCATGGGATTATTGGTATTCTAAATCATGGGAACTAAATCCCAGCAACAAAAACTTAAAAATCTATGAACAATTGAAAATTTCAATGAAACAAATTGTAGATAAAATTATGTGTGGACATGGGATGTTATTTACTTTCTGCTCTATGGCTTATAATTTTATAAAACATACAAAACAATAATGTTATTCTAATATTCCAAATATTTCACAATCAACGTTTTATGTCATTAAACATAAACAGAGAATTGTGTAAATGTATTATATGCCTTAATCTTGCTTTCCTAGGAATATAGCACAGGCTCTGTTTTCACTTTGTAAAATAGGTTTTTTTCAGTGTAGTCAAACCAATAAGTGTTCTGTAATAAGTACCTCGTAAACACTCAACAATGTCGTAAGAGCAGAAATGAAAACTAAAAGTATCTATCCAGGCGCTTGCCCAAACAAATAAAAAAATCTTTTAAATTAGCGAAATAAAAAGTATATAGAGTCACATTTTAGGAAATATTAGAATCAAGCTTCCAGTGAACTTTTATTTGTTCATTTTTATTATTATTTTACCACTTTACCACCGGCATGAGCATGCGAATTTTTATTGATGTAAATATTTAACATATTTCTCTTTGATGTTAGCCGAAACTTTTCACTCACACGCCAAAGAAAAACTACAAAATCATGCCAAAGATGAGTTACAAAAATTATATAGATACTTGAAATATTCGCATTCATTGAATGAAATGAAAGCAGCAATATGAAAATAATTAACATATTTTTATTACAATCTATTAGTGTACATATTGTTTATTCGTATCAGTGGAGGAACGCAATGGGATGCTTTGTGGTTGGTCCATTAAACTAATTAGCTAAATGCCACAACACAAACAAAGATATGTAAATGTGCGTGTTTGATTTTTAATAGAATTTAATACTTTTAATTGCGTTAAACTTGGCATAGCATCAAACGCAATTAAAAAATCAAAACATTTTAAATGAAATTATTTTATTTTAATGTTCTGTGTTCATAGTTCATCTAATAAGCTTATGTGCCACAAGTAACCTAGTTTGTTGTTTTATTTAATTTAGTTAATTATGAATATGTAAAACAAAAGTGTGAAACGAAGAGGAATTTTTCGAATTCTAAATTATATATAGCATAACATTGATTGTATATTCTTATAAATAAATAAGTATTCCCTTCCAGTTGTCTTTTGAGCTCGACTTCCAATTTTTTTCAAGGCCTAATTCAACAGCATTACAATGCTAACCGCACGATGATTCCAATGGGAACTAATAAAATGAAGGAAATAACCGACACATGTAGCTTAATTCATAAAACTATAACCTACTGAATTATCGGAAAACGAAAATGAACTTAATAAAAGCTTTAATGAAAATGTGATGCAAAATGAAATTTTTTCCTGGGATGTCCAAACTAACTAAAAATGTCTATTTATGAGACATATCCACAACTTGAAAAATTTTATAAAAGTGCATTCTGTCAGTTATAATTTTCTAAATTTAAAACTTTCTGGTTAATCACTCGTTAAATAGTAAATAGTTGTAATACTTGTATTTAAAGAATCATTAAAATATGAAATGTATGTTGTGATTTATATTTCTAAGTATCTTTTCAGTTCTTTCGCTCGTTAAGTTGCTTATTACAACTAAATTCGTCTTAGTTAAGTTGTTGTTTAAAGTTGCTGTTCGAAACTGTTGTTGTCCTTAAAAAGAGCATTTCTATGTCTCCATATACACACAAATATTGTAGATGGTTGGATTTTCCTTAATGCGGTGCTGTTTAAATAAATCAATTATCATTACAATAAATGCAAACTTGAAGAATTAATAATTAAAGTTTCACATATTTGAAGAACTCTTCAGCCTGTGTCTTTATCAATTAATTTGCATTTAAAGTGAGGCGCATAAGCCAGAGAGTCAATAACCCGTGCCGAAAAGCAAACCATAACCAGCACAGTCCGTGTTCCTTATTAATGGAAAACATGCAAATTTAACTGTCTTTCTATCTTTTACAGCTAATTATTAATTAAAAGCAGCTGCTGTGCATCGACATCGACGCCGGCCAGTTAGAAATCCAGGGAGGCGTAAAGCGCATCTCGCACAGACATGCGAGCATCTGAAGTGACGGTTGCATAACAGAATTACAAAAAAAAAAAAAAAATAGAAGCAGCAAAGAACAGCAACAACGATGAGCAACAGGCTGGATCTGTTGGATGCGCAGCTACCGGCAAGCGAAGCAATGCCGATTGGTGTGGAAGGCACGTCCAACGCAAGAAGCGGTGCGAGGAGAAAGACCAAGAGGCGTGGTGGGAGGCGAGCTGCGGCAGCGGCAGCGGTGCATGGACGGGAGAGCATTGGCAGCGTCAGCTCCACGCTCTACAAGGCATTTCGCGAGCGCTTCTTGAGCGGCAACGCGTCCACATCCAAGGTTGGGGACTATAGGGAGTTGCGCCAACGCGATGCGGAATCGGGCCAACATTTGGATGTTGTTGCCGATGCCGAAAGTGTTGGGGAGGAAAGCGACAGTGGAAGTCGGCTGAGCAGTAGCAGCAGCAGCAGCGTCGAGGATTTGTTTGTCCACGAGACGCGACGCAAGTGGCGGCGGAAAGGCTCGGGCAGGGGGAGCTCCAGGCAGCGCCTGAAGGTAAGTCGTAGATCCCAACACGATTGTCAGCTTTCCTTTGCTTTAGACCAACTATTTGGGCATGCGCAGTCGATGACAGCCAGACGCAGAGTCGATGTAACGTTTTTTATGAACGAACGTGCTCGGCCTAATGATCAGCACCATGAAATGCCAAGAAATTGGTTCAAACCGAACACACACTCCCTCATCTATATGTATCTTTAAATCGTGTGTTTTTATTTTAATTCGTTGTCGTTCGTTAGCTCCGATAATTGTGTTGACGCTTAGCGATTGTTTTATTAGATAATTTCATTTAATTATCAGATTTAAATGCCAACTCATTATTTAATGGGAACATGGAGGCCTGACACATTTCACTTTCATTTGCGCGACAGCCTAATTATGCGAAAATGCTTTTATAGCTTTGATGGGCAAGCTATTGACCTGATCGGTGACACACAAAATAGGCGTAATTTTTTGCTCTCTGCACATGTGAAAGTTTAAAGGCAACCTTGAAATACTAATTGTTGTACTCGTGCCCTGTACCCAAAGGATTCAAAAGTCCAATTGCCACATGTATGTAACAGGCAGGAGGAAGCGTCGCAGGCCCCATTTCATGAGCTCATGATCCGCCCTGTCTTTCCGGCCTCTTCGTCCGTATGAGCAACGGGTATTTTATTCATATAGTGTATATTCATTTTATTGTTAACCCATACCGATCATTGTATTTCTGATTTAACAATTTTTTGTTGTTGAAAATATAAAATTAAAAAAAAAAAAAAACCTTTTATCAAGTAAAATTTAAATTCACACCAATCTCTTTTATGATCTTAATTGACTTTATAGACGTTTCATTTAATTGACTTTCAGAGCTTGACTTTTTGACTAAGACGAATTTGATTTTAACTTTTGCAAAGACGTTCAGAAATAAGAGAATGATATTAAATAAAACACAAATTTTAAAAATCATACCATAATAAAATATAATTATAGTTCAGTGATAAAGTTAAGTAGAAATTCTATCTCCTTGGTTTCTAGATTTCGAGTTGATTTAACTAATTAGTGTGGTCATTTGATCTTTGTTTATGAATTTATAGTGTGAGATGTACTTTTATATATATAAATAATTTAAAAATTTAAAATAATTGAATAATACGAGTAAACGATTTTAAAAACGCGAAAACATTAATTAAATGATTAAATGTTAAGTTTTTAATACTTTCACAAATATGTTGGTGAAAGTAACTGTTTTCCTTCTGTAAGATATTTCTTTACCGGCTTAGATATTTAAATATGATTTATTTCTTAACTAATTTAATTTATCTCATCTCAAAATAAATATGATTAAAAGGTGCAATTTTGAAATCATAACACTATATTTCGATAGCTTGCAATTTTTTAGAGTTCTCGTTGGCATGATGACGGAAACGCTCCGTATTTTAATTTATACATCTTGTACTTTGATATTTTGTAAGGTAAATCACTTAAAAACCAGCAAGAAGTAGTTTTCTCAAGTAACAAGAAAAATTTTCTATGTGGTTACTCCTTTCTAGAGTCAGTTGTTTAAATAATCGATAACAGCATTTCAGTGAAAATGCAAATTATAAATTTTGTTTAAAGCTTACACATAAATAGTACTAATTATAGAAATGTATTAAATTTTATTTATATTCAAGCCACTGTTCGAACAGCTGTTTAAAGCTCTCCGATTGTTTACAAACAAACACTAGCAAAAGCTCCAATACCTGCAAATGGCAAAGTAAGAGAGAGAGAGAGAGAGAGAGAGAGCGGCTTCCGCGCAGAGAGCCATAGTTTGGCGCTTTTGAGTGCTTTTTGCCGGCTTTTTGTTTTCCACTCGAAACCTTGTAAAATGCCGCCTGCTGTCTTCATGACAAATGGCGGTTGCTTCAATGGCAAATGGTCGGCGGTTCAAACTTAAATCTCAGCGGCGGTCGCGCTTTATATATGGCTTGTAGTTGTATGTAGCTGTTGCAGTTGTAGTTGTTGTTGTTGTTGTTCTTCCCCTTCTTCTTGTTGTGGCCGCCCTTTTTTAAGCCATTTCGTGCTCCAATGGACTTTAAAATTTGTGCGCTTAAAGTTGTGGCGCGTGTTTGGCTTTATGTTTGTTGCCTCTATTTTTTGTTTTGCTTTAGCACTATCTATCTTTCTATCTATCTACGTATATTATATGTTGCTTGCTTTATGCTGCGTTCGCTTTGTTGCTGTTGCTGTTGTTAGTTTTATTTTTGGTTTTTCTGCTGCTTGACTGCACACGCTTAACTGTGCGGCAACGGCATTTGTATTTGAGTTGCCTTCATTTTGTTGTTGTAGCTGTATTTTTGGCTTTGCGGGCGTGTTTGTTGCTGTTGGCAACATTGTTCTTGTTGTCGTTGTTGTTGTTGTTGCTGCCTGATGCTGCGCCATAGCTGCGGTTGTTGTGGGAATTATTTAACTAGGCACATTCATTTCACAAACACACAAAGACGCCCAACATACTCGTACACTCACATGCAATGGTGGAGGGGAGGAGAGACGAAAGGAACAGGACGTGGCCATTTGTTGTTGTCGCACTTGCCGCGGAAGTTGGTTTCCTTTCGCCGTCGTCGTCGTCGTCGTCGTCGTCATCGCCGCTGCTTGCAAAATGTTAAAAATGAATAGCCAAATTGTGCGCCACAGTGTCGCCAAAAGTGCAATCACAAGACCCAGATCTGTGACAGTGCTTGGCTTGGCTTGGCTTTAACTGAAGCTGCTCATTTGTTTTTGTTTTCTTTTTTTTGGTTTTGTTTTTGTTGGCGTCTGTGCTGTCGGCCTATCAGTGAACGGGCCAACAACTCAGTTGCCAATTACACTATCAAACAAAACTTTGAATTTATCTGTTAATGCACAGCATTTGAACACGCTTTTATAATGGAATCTTTCGAATGAATAATTTAAACATTTCCAAGATTAAGATGAATTAAAAATTAGCTGTAAAAATTCTGTTTTTGACTCGCTTTTATAAATGTGCTTTAATTATGTTGGAAATGTATGATAATTTAATGATTCTGTTTTTAAATTACAATAAATTTTAATTAATTAACTCTGAACGATGAATCTACAAATCATTTCTAAATATTTTTGCAACTACTTCAAAAGCTGTGCATAATAAAAAAAAATGCATTCACCTTAATAATATTCCCTTCTATTTTTTGTTTTTCTGACAACATGAGTTTTGTTGCATAGTGCTATCAGTAGGGCCCAAAAAAGTATGCAATATATCGCATCAAATTACATAAAATGCTCTGAAAACGCAGACCCCCTGCCAGCAATGAGTATCAAAAAATATTCCGGTCGAGCAGATTCTTATATGAATTGCTCTCAGCACTTCAGGTGCCACTTACAAGCATACGTACATATGTATATAGAGGACTTCAGTATATTCAGCATGTCGTAAAATTTTTCAGCGCTACATGATTTATGTGGCAACGTTTAATGCCTTCTTAATTACATTTTATGTGCCAGAAATTTAAGAAAAACAAGCGTCGGAAAATGCCAGCTGGTTGGACCGAAATGTTTTTGGGCACAAATCATATTTTCTTTGGCCGGGATTCGCATAAAAAAGCAGGAAACCCAAAAAATTCCGCCACGCAGCTGTGACGACAATACCATAAACATACAAGGGTAGGGATAATGGGGAGAGGGAAAGGTCACACGGCTGCCTTTCACTTGTACTTTCACTGCAGTCACATGTGTGCCAGGCAGTTGGCTATACGTGCCCCCCTTACACGGATGAAAAGAAAATCTATTTGGCTATTTGGCCGCGCAACGAACAACGGCCAACAGTGGATAGGATGAACCCGCTGGGATATGTGGGCCAGACATTTTGTGTATTCAGTTGAATTTTTGCCATTGCAGTTCATTGAAATGTGCGACCAAAATACACAATTACACATGTATTCACATATTGCCGCATTGTGTTTGACTGTCCCGGAATGCGTTTGAGTGTGTGTGTGTGTTGCGTCAGCTGGGATTTCAATGCCTAAAACTATGTAGCGATGGCACGGAACAAGGTTAAAGCTTAGCCACAGTCATGGATATGCGAGTGTGTGTGCGTGCTTTGTTTCAAGCCCTCCAACATTTATAGAGCATTTAATTAAAGTGACTCTCACTTAATCACAATTGAAAATACATTCTATGTACTATTTGCAATTCAGGGCTGTTAAGCCATGTTAATCCTTGGGCACGAGTTTGGAGGCATCATTAGTAGAACAATAGCATGAAAGAAAAAGAGAATCGACATTGAAAAAATAGTAATGAATAAATTCCTGTCAGTATATAGAAGATAGAATCTGTCACAGTAGATCCATTTATTTCAGCTGTTCTTACCCACACCTTCGACATCCATTGTTATAAAATTTAATTTTAAAAGCTTCCTATTCAAATATTATAAAAAGCACTGATGAACTAGAAAAATATTTAAAAAAAAAGAACAGAAAGAGTCCAACTCAAAAACGGAAGAGCAGTAATTAATTAATCACTAATTGATCATGTTATTTAGAAATACCTGCTAAGGATTTTGTATAAAAACGCCAAAGCTTTTCAAAAAAAGTTAAGTACGTACCAAAGAACGAGCGCGTTCTCATCTTCATAGTAATTTCTGAAAAATTCTAGTGTTACACAAAGCGTAAAATCAAAAGTGATTGAAATTGTAATGAATTGTAATGCCATTTGGTTTCCTTATTATGTTATTTCCAGCTTTCAACTTATACAACATATATATATTTTCGAAATCTTACGGAGTACGTATACGTAATTTTTTTAAAGGTTGAGTCACTTAATTTTTCCGATGTATATTATTTCAGGATTGATAATCAAATATCTATATATATATATATATATATATATATATATATATATATATATATATATATATATATATATATATATATATATAGATATATATATATATATATATATAGTTTTTATCTAACTTCAATATGTCAGTTAAACATGATTCAAGAATATTCTTGGTGGGCCACTAAAAATGTTTGTTTTGTCGGCTGTAGTTTATAAGTTCTGCAGGTGTAATTGTATTCTGAATGCACATACTTGTATTATTAAACTATTTTCTGTGCATCTCTCATTTCGTTCTTACAACTCCACGTTGACAACAATGCAAAGTTATTAAAAATTTTAAAAGCAACGGCCAAAACGTAACCTATGAATACGTTTGATCTCCAAACCACAATCAGCTCAATCAGATTAGGGGCTTATTCCACTTCATAGTGTACCTAACTTTTTACCTTTTGGTATCTACATGTTTTGCTTTCTCCCTTTGGAGAGGTGTAATTCGCATTCACCTTTTAATCCTTTAAAACACCAGAGCTTTAAAAAATGCAGTAGTTTTCGAACAGATATCGCTGTAATTTGAGTCAACGAATTTTTCATCCATGGCCAGGTCTCTCGTGTTAAACAAACAAAACAGGCAGTGGCGACAAAAAAATATAAAAAAATTGAACTGAAAACTACACACAAAATGCAATTCATTTAGTTTGAATCGCGTACCGGTGCCGTCGCTTGTAAATGCCACTTTCAGAGGCCAGGGCGGGACCATGTCCGTGTCCAATACGCCTCGACTCCATGGCATGTCGTTCACATTTACATTTTACAAGCCAACGCGCTGAATTAAACGACAGCTGAAAAAATTGAATGCAAATTTTTCTCTTTATTTTTGGTTGCTGCTGTTAATAATTTGCAACCATGGTCCGCAGCTTAGCGAACGTGCGAAGGTCAACCGTATTTGTACAATTCATAATGTGGAAAACAATTGTTTTTGACAAGTGAAATATTTTTGCAGTAGTTTGCCATGAAAAGTCGTAGCGGGGGGAAAAAAGTTTTTGAATGGTCCCAAGCTTATAATTGAAACGCCTAAGTGGGGCATTCACATTGGACATTACAATAAGAATGGCAAGAAATCAAGTAGATGTGGATTTGGAAAGTTGAAAGTTCATTTCATTTTAAGCCTGATGTTAGGTTTGCATTTTTAAGAAATTTTTTGTACATTTTGGGAGGAGGGTCATGAGTATATGACGTTCCTTAGTTTTTAGATTACCTTAATGTACATATATTATTGGAAGTTATATCGATTAGGTAGGATGGAATCTGTGTCGGAGAAAGGTTTATTTGGCATTCTCTGGACATCAAAGAACCACAACATTAATAAAACTGAAATGGATTAAAGTCTTAATAGTGGTCCCATAGACAGACATGCGGTCCAATGCTTTCTACAGAAGCTGTCAAGATGAGAAAGTGAAGAAAGGAGCACTTGTCAGAATTAGACTCATTGCTTTAGGGCGACCTTTCCAATATGAACTCGCAGATATACCATACCCTTTGGAAAAGGGAAGAGAATTGGTGTATAGTATATTTCAAAACAAACTTAAAACTTAACTATGTACTTAAAAATGAAATTTATCAAATGGATATCCAAGAACTTCTGAAATGTAAACGGCTTTCAATTTGGAGAATGTTGTGACATTATAAAACGTTTTAAGAGTTGTTGGAACCGAATATTTAATTTATGAACATTTATTATAAATAACATTTGTGAGCGCCAACAATTAAAGCAATTTAAAACAAATGTAGATTAATAAAACGTGCTGAATACCTAAAAATTGAGAATTGATTTAATTTATAAGTCAAATAACTAACTTCTATAACTACTCATTTAGAACGGATTGAGAGAAATTTGTTTCGATTTTGTTATGTTTCGATCGTTGTTATGAGAGCATTTGTTAAATCATGGGTTTTTATTATTTATATGAAACTAAGCGAATTATTCCAAGGTATTACTAAGGTCTATTTGCTTAAAATATTACTTATAAGCCAAAAATGTAACACCAAGTTTCTTTTTTGGGCTTTTTTGCATTTACTTTCAGAATCCACCGTTATGTACTAGAAAGACTCTAGCAGTGATAGTTTTTACATTCCTAGCTTTATTGGTTTTGACGCTGATCTCCATTTTGGGTATCTACGTACTGCGTGTTGAAAATCTCCACCGCCCCTCTACTCTAAGAAGCATTGACCTAACTGAGGTAATTTACGGAGCATTTTACGCCAACGAATTCAACGGCAGTTGGACAAAGGATGGCAATGTGTTATACAAAGATGAAGAGGTAAATGAGACAATATATGTTTAGCTATAAAGATAAATGATCGAACTGTCCCTATACAGGCCATTGTGGAGTACAACACAAAGACGCAGCAACGTACAATTTTATCAAGGAATGCACATCAATATTTTCACTACGAAAAATCAGCCGACGGAAAGTATTTGCTGCTGGCGAAGAGCCGGCAAAAGATCTTTCGATATAGTTTCTTTGCTCTCTACGATATATTGAACCTGAAAACGGGTCTACTCACCCCATTGACCATAGAGAAGGAGAGACCCTTTCTGACTCTGGTGAAATGGGCGCCCATGGGCAATGGATTGATAATCAATTACGAAAATAATATATACTACAAGCCGAGGGCATTTGCACAGGAAATTGTCATAACAAGGGACAGCAACACAATGGTCTTGAATGGCATACCGGACTGGGTGTATGAGGAGGAGGTCTTCAGCTCCAACGAGGCCATGTGGTTCAACACGGCTGGCACCCAGTTGGCGTTCATACGCTTCGATGATTCTCTCACACGATTCATGGACATGCCGGTGTATGGTGAGGCGAATGATTTGAGTTTCCAGTATCCAGAACATAGGCAAACGCCCTATCCTAAGGTTGGCACGCCCAATCCACGCGTACAACTGTTTGTGGCGAATCTGGAGAATGCAATGGGCGGTAGAAAGTTTCTAAGTGAGGTTCAAGTGCCTACTAGACTCCAATCGGGAACGGATCATATTATTTCAGTTGTTAGTTGGCTCAACGAAACTCATGTGCTCTCCACCTGGATGAATCGCACACAAAATGCCGCCTATGTGATGTGCTTTGATGGTCTGAGCAACAAAATGGTGAGCTGTTAATGGTGTTGTATAATATCGGTCTATAATCAGATTTTAAATTTATATGATAAAGTTATAGTATAATCCACAAAAGGATGGTTTGGCAGTTGATAAGCAAAAGGGATAATTCAACTTAACGTTGAACGTTTACACACCTCAGCTTCTGAAGTAATTATGAACAACTTGTTATAGAGATAGAAAGCTTTTTTATATTTTACCTTCGACACACCACAAAACCAGCTTTGTCTTTTTCTTTTTTTAATGTATTTTTTGAATCGATATTATTATTGTGACCTCGCTCTCTGAAATTATATATGTACATATTTATATTCTATATCGTAACTTTCTCAATGTCCTGGTGTTAATGAAGAGCCCCACTAATTACTGTAGTAATAAATACCTTACAAACCTGCAGGATGTGCTACAAATGTAATATTTCTAGTAAAAAAATTCTCATTTAGGCGAAGGCTTTATTTAATTTAAAAAAATTATTTCAATTAAATTTAAAATCTTGTAGTTTCCTTAAATTCATTTGATTACTAACCTCATAAAACTCCTTTATTTCAACTTCTAGCTGTATAACATCGAGTCCAAAACTGGTTGGATAAATATCTTCAGTCCACCCTTTAGTAATAACGACTCCACGCGAATTGCCTTAATACTTCCGTACAACAACTACAAACACATTACATTGCTTTCAACCAAGGCAAACGCCTCCGAACAGCAGCATCCCGTAGCCCTCACTGAGGGTAACTTTGTGGTGGACAGCATACTCCATTGGGATCCTACACACGATCTCATCTTCTACTTGGCCAACACCGCGGAGCATTCGGAGCAACTACACCTTTATGCCATTAAGGCCCAAAGCGGCGGCAAAGAGGAGCCCAAGTGCGTGACTTGCAAGCTGATGTCATCTGACAATGAGGAGCAGAATTATTTTTCAGCCACTTTTAACAATCAAAAGCAGATTGTGATTACGTCACTGGGTCCGGGATTACCCGCAACAGCCATCTACGAATGGAGCTACGAAAACTGTAAGCAAAACAGCAAACAAAAGCTATAGACGAAGTAAACAATTTACAGTGCTCTAAGGATGGTACTAAGTATCAGGGCGAATTATCTAGGAAAATTATTTACATTTATCGCTTTAATTTGAAGAAAATATTGTGTAATAGAAAGGGTATAGGTTTATAGTCCAATTATTGTTAATAATACCACTTTCCACTTCGTACATCTATACACTTTAAAAGTTGAGCCCAAAAATTTGAATACAAGCAATTCTAATATCGAATCGTTGCACTCTGAAGTCATTATATTTTCCTCCATTTGCCAACAGTTCAACTATCACTTACAAAATTACTGGACTGGGAGACTAATGACATGCTGCGCTCTAAATTGGAGGGCGTAACCTTGCCCAGACGCGAGATACATACCTTCGATATTGGAGAGGGTCTGACGGCAAAGGTGTTGTTACATTTGCCACCAAATTTGGATCGAAGCGGTAGGACGAAGTACCCTATGCTTGTAGATGTCTATGGAGGTCCTGATTCCTTCTATGTAGGTGACATTCTCCAGATATTAGAAGCTACATTAAATTTAATCATTTATTACAGGTAAACAACAAATGGTCCATAGACTGGGGCAGTTATCTATGCATCAATGAATCGGTTATTTATGCCAAAATCGATGGACGTGGCTCGGGCATGCGTGGTGAGAAGCTTTTGAATGCCATCTATAGAAATCTAGGAACTGTAGAGATTCAGGATCAGATTTCTGTCACACGGTAAGTAAAACTACGGTCAGAGAGGCAAATATTCTGCATTAATAAATCTGTCGGCGGTTTTTTGAAGCAGAAGACTAACCTTCAATGAAGATGCGGTATTAGTTTTTATTGGAGTATTATATTCAAGACAAAGTCGCCAAATTGTTAAGCTTACATAAGGCATCTTTATACTGAGACGAGTTTTCATTTCCTTGCAGCAAAGTTACTCAAAAATTCAACTTTGTGGATGCCTTAAGTATAGGTATCTGGGGCTGGAGCTATGGCGGCTATGCAGCTGGCATGGCCTTGGCCACTGATGACTCAAAAGTATTTACATGTGCCGCCTCAGTAGCGCCTGTCACGGATTGGAACTACTATGGTATTTCCAGCCATTCTGTGAATTGTTGTGTGAATTACTAATCGCATCATTTTCGTAGACTCCATTTATACGGAGCGCTATATGGGACTGCCTAGCGAAAATGAGGCTGGCTATGAAAATTCGCGGCTATGGACGCGTGCCGATCAGTTTCGAGGAAAAAAGTATATGTTGGTCCATGGAACTTTGGACGATAATGTGCATTATCAGCAAGCCATGGCTCTGGCTAAAAATCTGGAACTGCGTGATATTTCGTTTACACAGATTGTGAGTTGCATTTTCTATATATATTATATGTTACTGTTTTTATATTCGTGCCTTGTGTAGAGCTATCCTGATGAACAACATGGCTTGATTCATGTACGTCCTCATCTGTATCATGCGCTGAATCGTTTCTTTGGCGACTGCTTTGGAAACAAACACTTAATGGAAAGCGGCAAATAATATCTACTCAAGTGCAATTTTAGCTGACAATAGCAACCGATGTTGCTCAACTGTTAAATAAAGCAATTGTTGAAGTCTTATATTTATTAACTCCGAATTATTAGTTTAATGTTGATTTGAGACAAAGTTACGAATTGAGGCAAGCTCATGAATCGATCCAAGTTTTAAAAAATGCAAATACAGGATTCCAAAACAAGCTTGGTTGCTACAAAAATATTAAACAGCTCCGGCAGCACGCCATAATGACTATTCTGATAAGTTTCTCAAACATGTTTGGCCTTAATGTCTTTTTCTGGCTTGGGCTCCTGGTTCGCTTATCGACTTTAACCAAATTTGGCACTTGGCCAAAAAATATGTTTACAAACATTTGTTGAGACCTAAAAATGTATCGAGTATAGCAAAAATTTATTGTTTATTAATGGGTTAGCAAAGTGTGTCTGAATGAAATAAATAAATGCGTAAACAACATAAAAAAGAAAGTTATAAAATATATGGTGAGGCCTGAATCAAACAACATCTATTAAACAAACAAAAGGCTGTCCGAAAAAATTAATCTACCCATACCATGTCAGTGCATGAGATCTACTTAGATGTTTTTAAATCCTTCATGCAATGCTTGGCAAGTTGAGCTTCTTTAAAAAGAATTAACTTTCGAAGTTCTTGAATTGTCGATGCCCTTACAGTAAAGCTCAATAAAACATAACCATTGAACTTACCCCTGCAGCTCACTTTTCAATTGGCTTTCCCTCCTGAATGCATAAACGCGTTGCCTAGCAATTCAAATAAACAACGTTAATTTTTTTCAAGCAATCGAAGCAGTCCAAAGAACACATTATAGCAGGCCTGAAAATAACAATCAACCAAACGAGGGTAAAATAAAATTCAATAATATTCAGTATGATTCTGAACGCTGTCTAGACAACATCGAGCAAATATAGTAAACAGTTTTTATTGAAACAAAAACAACTATAATTTGGAAATGTCGATGTTTGACAATCCTGACCAGATCCGGGAGCTGGCAAATCTCCTGAGCCCCAACCCAAGGCGTGGTGGGATAGACTACAGCAGCAGCGACGATGAAGACTCTGTGGTGCCGCGACTAAGTGAGTAATAATTCTTAGATAACAATTCCTTGTAGCTGACGAGCTATTTCTATGCCTACCTAGCACCCGGTGGCATCGGACCGGGTGGATCGGCTGCAGGCGCGGGGAAAAAGAAAAAAGTGAATCCGGTAGCCACACCGCTAGTTGAGACCCCGAAAGAGCAGCCCAAAACATTGGAGGAGTGGCAGGAGCAGCAAGAACGGGAAGATGCTGATGTGCTGGAGGAGCGCCTATGTCCTGAATACACCATGACCTACCGCCAGGCAGTGGGGACGGAGGATGTATATCTCCAGGTAGCTACCCATTAACCTATGCAAATGAAGAGCCAGCAACTACACAGACAACTTTTCCATTTCCATTTAGATGGGCAATCGCACGGGCGCCTCAGCAAGCTGCGAAGATCTGGTTGTAGAGATAACGTTGCCCGACGAGCCAATGCGAGTGGACCAAATGGAGCTGAAGATGAAGGAGTCTGAGCTCGATTTGGCAACATCCAAGTACCGACTGAGGTTGCCCCTGCCACACCCAGTCGACACCGATAGAAGTAAAGCTAAGTACGATAGCGAGCTAAAGAAGCTGCAAGTGACGTTGCGACTTCGAAGAGAGCTGGACTTTGTCAATTTCTAAGACCCCCTCTAATTTTCAAACACAAACACCCACTCTTTTTCTTTTCTTCCCTCGGTAACTCCTTTTTTGTTACATTTGTGTATTTGTGTTACATCTAGACTATTTAATTACCTGAAATGTTGTGTGTTGTTAGCCTCCAAATCTTTATGTGACTTACTTTTGGACATCTTGCCACTTAGATCTACGTGGCTTAAATTGTAGCTAAAGTGGATATGAAATTTGGCAATAAACTAAATAAATCTTGTGACTGAATTCAAATGCCATTGGCTTTTAATAGAAAGAACAGTTTATACTCATAAACAATTTCTGTTTATTATTTCGAAGTAAACCTAGAAAATGAAATATTGAAGTAATTTTGTTCAGAAAATATTTACATTCATTATCTTATTTCCATCGCAACATGAAAATAAATAAAAAATGCACGCATAATAAGAAATATTTCCAAGAAGTGGGTAAACGCGTATAAAAACAAATATCTTGCTGTCAAGTAAATAAAAGCTTGAAATTGATATTCATTTGATGGTTACTGTCTGGAAAATAAAAAACTACCCATCATTTTAAATAGCTTGAATTTAGGGAGTTTCTGTCTTATCATTTAACATTTTGTAGAATTCAAAGGAAAAATGAAGTACCTTTAAGTTGGTGCCATCAAGATTAGTTGTAAAATGATATCCTTATTTATTTTTAATGACTATATATGATTGTGTAATATGAAAATAAAATAGAAAAATTTACTCTTAACTTTTTTTAAGTACTTGAAATTTTTGTCTGCCAAGTCCCTTATTATCCAAGTAATGTAATGTGTTTCTATCAGCCTATAAGCTTAAAAAAAAAACGTCTCGTAACTCAGAAATGTCTCTGCGGACTAAATACTCATTCCTTTACACGTAAGAAGCCCTCTATGTGTTGAGCTTTATAGAATGATTTTTTAACAATATGTGTTTTAATTTAAAAAAAAAGTATTTAAAAATGTCAAATTACTGCAAACTTGTTCAATGAGGCCGACACCAAAGGAATTCGTGAAAATTGTACGACTTGCGAAAATTGCTACAGTGATTGGAAAAAGTAGCAAAGAATAATTACGCATCCGGAACCGCTGAACCGGAAGTTGTAATTCTCTAAAGTATTTGGCAATACTCATAAATATTGCATGCGATGCTCTTCACAATTGTAAGAAGTTGGCCAATTGTATAAATTTGCTGACTTCCGCTGCTGTGACCAACGGTTCTGCTCGCCTTTCAAACAATTCGTACCCACACACACACACACACTTACATACACATTTGGTTTCATTGTTCAATTTTTGAGTAAAATTGCGTATACGCCGCATTAGTCCGTCGAATCACAAATGGGGCTCAAATAAGCCATAAAATATTTGTTGTATATACAAGCCTCCGAACTGCCTTATTTGCTCGCGCATTATCCTGTCAGAAAACACTTTAGCTAAATATTTGTCAAATGCAGGCCAGCTCGAGCACGCCGCAAAGTACACAAAAGTCACACACACACACACACCTACACACATACAAAAGTTGCCTTTCAGGACATTTTTTTCCTTTCCCCATCGCCCGCTGCATTTGCGGCTGAGTTTTGGCTCATTTACTCGCCAACTGGCGTTGGCACATTTCAATTTTTGTGCGAGCTCCGGGCGGCCGGCGACAGATTTGATAAAGTGTCGTCAGAGTTGTCGTTGTGGAGGATCACGCGAGGCGACCTGCACGCGACTTTTTCGTCCTAGCCGTCCATTCGGCAGTGTCGACGGCTGCTTTGACATCTTTGCGAAAAAATTAAAAGGCATAAGTTTTGGGGCACTCGGTCTGCGTGCATTGAGTGGCAAGTAGTTTGCTGGCCTGCTCGCCAGCCCCGGGCATCTTTTAATCATTTGTTCGACGAAAACTTTTGGCCCTGATAATAAATCAACGACTACGACAACGGGACAGAAGAGGAAAACTTTTCACAAACTTTAAATTCAATTTAATAGCCTCAAAATGAGCTGTGCAAAATTTCAAGAGCCGTTTGTTATCTTAGCTAAATTGTTGTTTATGTTGCCAAGTTGGACAATTTGCGGACGGAAATTTCGTATTTAGATGCCAATAATAAAATGCTAAGGAATCGTAATTTTCTATTTGATTTGTTAAAATCTCAGGCAGGTTTATGGGGTTCGAGCAGAAGCTTCACAAATGAAATGAATTATGTATCTACTTATGAATATATTTGCAATAAGCTGTCATTTATTTAAATGAGGTGTCTGAGTCAAAATTAGAATATAAAAGTTTTCGAACAAAGCCTTGAGGTAACTAGTGCCCTATGCCCAACAAAGGCACAAATCAAGAGATAACAATCAAAAAAGGAACACTTTTAGTTCTTTACTTTTTCACACTTAGCGTAAAAAGTGATAGGCCTTAACACATTTAACGCAAAAGTGCAACACATGTTAAAAATTAGATTTCACAAGTTAATTCAAAGCAGTTTACAATGAAATCCTTACACTACGATATATAAGTATAAAAACCTTTATGGTGTTGTTTACCCAACCTCGCTGTAAGTAAAGAAACCAAAAGCACCCGCTTGATCTTCCTCATCGCACAAACTAAACTTCCGCACCCCTAAGTCACACATAATACAAAATCCCAATGCCAATGTTCTCCCATTATAATTTGAGGATTGTCCAATCGGACAGATTGCAAATATAACCTATCTGTTACAAAATTTACGAAATACAATCAGCTGAAAATTTATTTAAGCAAATCCTTGCATGGTTTTAAGCGTCCAATTAATTACAGGTATACTATAAATATTTCGATGTTGTCTATATCAATATTAGCAAAAGCTTGTCCTGTCTCCTAAGTTTAACTATTGAAGTGTCTAACTAAAAATTATAAGAACTATGCCGTGCTGCTTTTGGATATCTATATAATTGAAAACAAATCTAGTTCACTGTTCGCTCATTGAGATTCCCAATGACAACAAATGTATAATCTTATGTTAAAAGATCACTTCTAAGATTAGGAATAAATGAAGTAATTTTTAATTATAATTTTTCAATTTTGCAGATAACATTTAAAATGAAGATAAGCCTCTCAATAATCTTAATCTCAATAAAACTTGTTAAATATTGCGAATAGTGCTGCTAAGTTTAGATCGCAATTAATTGCTTCAAATTAAATTTGGCCTGAAATCTGTGGCATCATTGCATCAAAGCTGTGTGGAGTCATGGTTTTTAGCACTCATACCACTTGTGTTATAATTTCGTTTATATTTTATAGAATTTATTATTTATTCTCTGAGTGTGTGCATATGTATGAACGAGAAATATGTATATCCTACATATATAAGCTCGTATATGTATAGGCAACGTCATGTTCTGTCAGAGAACACACGTTCAATGACGTTTGACAAAACTTCAGCTACAGAAAGGCGGTTACAGACAAATTCCCAAAGTCTGTGCATGAACGCAAAACAAAACAAACAAAAATTGTTAAAAACTAACAAGTATAAAAAAGGTAAAGCCGACAAAATATATATACGAGTATGTATAATCCTACATACTATATGTATTTCTTGTTCTTTATTTCGGTTTTTTGGCTCATTTACACAAACGCACGCCCCAACAATAGGACGCAAAGCGAAACTAAACACTGGAATTGCAGGCATTGCGGGGTAAGAGTATTTGTTGAGCCGCATCCTTTTTTATCTCTTACAGCAACTTCCATCATCAACACAAATAGAAATTCGCATGCAAATGCGTTCCCTCACACGCTTTCATATGCAGTGCCAACTTTTCCAGCTTATGTACATACATACTAGGTACATATGTATGTATGTATGTATATGTGTGTGTGTGTGCTTGTGTGCAAATTTACTCCGAAAAGTGGGAGCAACAATAAGAGAGAACGGAAAAAAAAATACAGAAAGTTTTTTACCGTAAAAAGTTTTTTGTGCCACCATGAGAAACTTTTAATATGCGCATTTCAGCCTCGAAGGATAATGTGTGGAAATTGTTTGTTGTGCCGAGGCTTTTCAGGATTTTAAATGCAGAAATATACGTATTTATCATTGATTACGGCTACGGTGGCCAGAGGCCTGCGGCCTCGCACATGAATTCTCGTGTTGCATTTCGTTTTAATAAATAACGTGCAGTCGCACTTGAAAAATGTAATAAGCCGTATGCGAATAGTAGTAACAAGAACAGCAACACCAACAACAATAACAATAACAACAAAAACAATTTGTAAGGCTCTGCCACAAAAACCAAGCCTGCCAATCAACCGGGTCCAGTCGAGTTGCCCACTACGCTGTGGTAGATGCTTGGCTTTTTATTACATCATATATGTACATACGTATGTATAGTAGTACATATGTATGTGTGTGCATATATCTATATATATTGCTTAAATTTAAGGTAGCTGAAGGCCAGTTAGCCCAGCGCAAGGCTTGTGGCCAAGACGAACAAATTAAATTGTCCACGAGAAATTAAATTTCATTATTTACCCTTCCTTATTATCGCCTGTAATTTAAAAAGTAATTTGCCAATCAAGATTTAAATTTTTTAATTGCCGGACTGGCTACAAAACCTTCCCCACTGGGTCAGTGATTCATCACCTTTTAGCTTTTAGCTATATTTAATCTTTTGTTATTAAAGTATTTCAATTTTAATTCATTATTGTTTAAATTAAGTTACACATCTTTATTTTAATTTCATGTTCCTTCATCTCCATTTCTTTTTTGTTTGGTCCAATAACGTCTCTAACTCTGCTATGAATCCGGGCGTAGCTGGCCGTTTGGCAAATAAAATCCCCCACCGAGCCGGATTCGTTATTAGATATTTTTGTATTTTCTACAGGCTTTTTATCATTTAGTTTTATTTAGTTCAAGTTCTTTATTGATTTGGTTTTTTTTTACAGTGACAGCTTTGTTAGTTGGACAAAATAAACAAAATAAAAATTAAAAAGCAATATGCAAGCAAAACTTGTATTTTTATTTCTTCTTTATTTAACTTTCTGCTTATGAGCGCATTAAATGATTACACTACTTTTAATATTCTTCAAAAATTCAGTATGCCGATCACCGAAGATACTACAAGATTAGTTTTGTTTGCGTTTGGTTCTCCTTCTTTCGAACAGAACATCCTCAAAATAGTAAACTTTTCTCATATTTTGTTCTAATCTGCTTCAAATATTTAAGTCTGCTCAAGGATTACATTTGTCATTGCTTAGACAGATTACTTGTATACCCTTTATAATGCTAGCCTAGTAATA